TCTAGATCCACTTCTTAAAAAACTCAGATTTCACAAGGTCTACTCTAGGAGAGGGGAAAATCAAGATTCAACAAAAAACTAAGATTCTAATTTAGCCTGAAAAATATCCATAATTTCACATCTACTCCATCTGATGATCGAGACATTTCAAATTACAGTTCACTTCTATTTCCTTAAGAAAACTAATATGGGAAGTGCATCAAAAAACCTTTGTACCCAACAACTAATTTTTTATCCTACCACAAACTCTTTCCACCGTATCAATCCTTTCTTATCTCCTTAGACACTACTACAATTCCAAAAATATCTTCGAGGCTCTATTTAATAAATACTGAAAAGAAGCTACAGATGATGAAATCAAAGCTCTAGAAAAAAAATAGACTTGGGATCTAATGGAATTACTAGAAGATAAAAAGATGGTTAGTTGCAAATTGGTGTATATGGCGAAATTTAAATCAGATCATTTGATTGAAAGATATAAAGCTAGGCTAGTGGCTAAAGGTTATACACAAGTATATGGAATTGATTATCAACAAATTACTGCACATGTGAAAAAAATGAATACCATTATATTTTTATTATCTTTATAGTAATTTTTAGTTAGGACATTCAATAGTATGATGTTAAAAATACTTTCTTACATGGTGATATAGTTAAATAAGTTTATAACTCTTCCACCAGGATATGAAGGTCAGCTTTCATTGAATATTTTTTTCAACTTAAAGAAGTCTCTTTATGAGCTAAAACAATCACCCCAAACATGGTTTGGATGTTTTACAGCTACTATGAAAAAAATGAACTATTGTCATAGAAATGGTGACCATATCTTATTCTTTGACACCTCTTTAGGGGGGAGTATCATTATAGGAAATGATGAAGTGCAAACACATAACTTGAGCCATTGTTTGGTAAAATAATTTGATATCAAGACATTATGATGACTCAAATATTTTTTAAGAATCGAAGTGGCCCACTTTTCTAGAGGTGTTTCATTTCTCAACATAAGTGCCTAACAGATTTTTTGATACAAATAGTGAAATTTGTGTGTAAATCAGCCAATACACTTATCGATCCAAACCACAAACATCTCATTGGTCAACTACTTTATCTAACACACTCTTGACCAGATATCTCATATGCAATAAGTACATTAAATCAATTTATGTATCAACCAAAAGAATCTCGTTTACATGCAACCTATCTAGTGTTGCATTACTTGAAAGACATACATGGTACATGAGTTCTCTTTAAACGAAGTGGGAAGGTAGAAGTTGGAATCTTTATAGACACTAATTATATAGAATCAATGATTCATCGAAGATCAACTTCTAGACATCTCACATTTATTGGAGATAACTTTATTACTTAAATAAATTAAAAATAAAATGTGATTGCTCATTTAAGTATTGAAGTTGAATTGGAGACACTTGCCCAAGGTGTTTGTGAGTTACTCTAGATGAAGAATTTACTTGATGAACTAAAATATTTTTTACTGATCCTATGAGGATTTATGGTGACAATAAATCAACAATTAATCTTGTGCATAATCTGATACAGCATGATCATACCAAACATGTGAAGGTTGATCATCATTTTATCAAAGATAAGCTTGAGGCAAATTTGATTTGTATGCCATACATCTCAATAAATAACTAACTAGTTGATATGCTTACTAAAGGCATCTCAAGCATACAATTATAGGAGTGTTGTCGAGATGTGCCTAGTACACTATCTTGTATACCTTACACTTCTTGTAGTTCTATGTTTGTGTGTGGCTAAAATCTTCTAGAGGACTAATATAAATACCAAACCAGATCAAACCTTGTATACCTTACACTTCTTGCAGTTCTATCTTGCTTTGTATGTGAGTTTTTCTTTTATCAAATAAGAATAGATTTTTCTCTGCACGGGTGTTGTGGCTACCTATCAACACACCAGATCAAATTCAAAACTTCTATAATAAGAAAATTTTTATTCTCTCCTTTTTATTAGGGATTCTATCTTATTCATTGTTATCCTGCAAATATTTCCACACATCATCATTATTATTTGGACAATCACATGAGTATTATTATTTTCTGGTGGGTGTCCTATCCTCTCAAGATTCCCTAGGATTTTTATTCAAGAGTGACTACTTTAGTTTCTTATCCTTGCAATTTTATCTTTATTTGGTGGATACGTATGTTAAGTCTTATCTTCATTTTCACAAGATAAATTATGAAACACTATGATATCATGGTGCACAAAAAGCTATGTCATCATGGATACCCTTCACAATGAATATATCAGAATCAATTATTCTAGTATCTTATAACTATATGGCATGTAATGCTACTTTGTTACATTGACGATTTTGAGCTCAATTTTTAGTCTAGTCCTTGATTAAATTTTCTTGGAAACATATATGAATTAGGGATTCATCTTAAAAAATTCAAAAATAGTGTCTCAATGGGCCCCCTTATTAAACACATTAGTTTGAGTGTCCATTTGGGACGGGTAAGCCAACTTAACGAATGGTGTTGGAGTATAACGAATCGTATTTTTATCCTCAGACCGGTTTGGCTTGGTCCAGTTCACTGTAGAACTGGCTGGTCCAATATGCTCCATCTCTATGGGTTTGGTATAAATACCAGACCCAATTTACCCTTAACAGCAGATTTCATTTTTCTGACTAACAGCGACCTAGGGTTTTCTCCTCCAACAAATGGATTCTAAAAGATTTTATCCCAATCTATATAAATTTCTTAGATATTTAATGAGAGGTATCAAAGCACAATCTATTCCGAATAGGGTAAAATCTTACAAAAGAACTTGCAGTAATATTCACGTTAGTATCCATCTCAGAACTTCTTTTCATCAACTTGCCCAGAAAAGTTCCTCCATATAAAGTCAGCGCCCAACGAAATTTAGTAATCACATTTACTCTGTGAAACTTGATAAGACTGGGATCTTAACCTTATAATTCAAAAAAGGATCATTAACTTGATGCAAATCACACAAGATTAGCTATCAAAATCAAAATCAAGTGCTGAGTCATGCTTAACCATTTCACCATTGAGGTTGGAGAAGATAATGGGCTTGTGGACGGATCTATGATGGACTTAAGATATCTAATAACAATCGTCCCAACATCTCATTAAGGAAATTATATACTGGTAAATTCTCCCTGAAAATAGATTTATTCTCCTCCTAGAGTGGTATTTCCTTGTCCAAAACTCGATAAACTAGGATACGTTAATTCCTCAAATAGCTCATGGTAATTATCTCGCAGTGAAGTTATGATTTCAATAATCTTCTTGATTCATTTACCATCTCACTCAATTCATCAGCTCTTTCCCTCCTAGATTATGTAAACCGCATGGAGACTTCTGCCAGATTTAACTTAAGAATCCAAAAATTCTGTCAATTTTTCTCTGTTGGGCCACACCCAACTACATCACATTGTTCCAAGCTTTGAACCGAACGCATTGATTCACATTTTAGTTTACCTCCATCCATATCATCCATAGCATCCATATCATAATGTTGAAATGACCATATACCTATTTTGAACAAACCAGGCGTTCACAAACTTGATGGTAGTTGTTCAATCAATCAAGATCGACACTGGTTTTCCTTCAGGTGCCCATTCAACATGATAGTTTGGTAGTCAGAAGAGCATGCCATTGTGTGGATAGAAAACTGAGAACGAATTTCTAATGCCCGTGGCTTTTTAATTCCTTCACCGGGTACTGGTTTTCATCGAAATAATACAGTTCCTTATTATTTCCTCAATTCTCCATACATAATAAATCAGCCCACAAGAAGTTGATGACGCTGTTTCTGATACGACAATTGGCTAGAGGCCCACCATAATGTTAAAAATAGAGAAGATTTTAACAACTGGATAGTCACGTAATGCATATCCTAAGCATTACCAAGATACCATCAGAATTTCATGGCTGGGCCTCTCACTAGACCTCCTGAGACCATCATTTATCGGAATACTAACATGGTAAGATTTTAGAGGAATATACTTACTGTTGGAAACCATAGAGAATTCATGCTCATGTCTGCTGCTGAAACAGTTTGAATCAGCTAGAAATTGTTTCAATGAAGTCATTAACGCCTCGTCCATCCATTGGGTCAATCCTATGAATCATCAAATTCCATATCCATCATTTTCACATTGCTTTCCCTCAAACAAGTGCTGAGTGTGGGTAGGTTCAGAGACCAACTCAGATAGCAGCAGTTTAGTAGGATCAATAGATTGATTGGCCCCAATCAGATGAAGTCTCTGTATACGACCTATGCTGCAAATTGTACATTTTTTTTGCCGGAATATGATAATCGTTGACCTGTAACTCAATTATTCAACTTTGAAATAATAACAGGGAGATCACAGTTCTTGCCAGAAACTATAGGCAAACAATGCAAGAATAAACAGGGTAGTGGAATTGTTTTTCAACTTATCTGATGCGCCATGTCTCTGACATTTCAACTTTTCCTCTGCTTTCATGTACAGAGGAATCTTCCTTCAGGTCTCTTAGTGCAGCAGCTTCAGCAGGATACTTCAGCACTACACATGCATTGAGTTTACACAGATAAATATAAAATGGGCATTTAACAGAGGAGAAGCGTCAAAAAAGAGAAATCAAATAAAATTATAAAACAAATCACCCGATGGGCTTGTAATCACCAGAAAAAAAGAAAAGCTTTTACTTTTGCAGAAAAGGAAGAGGATATATTTATTTTTTAGTGTAAACTTTACTGAGACGTGCCCTGAGAAGCTGTAAGAAGATTGCAAGTATCATGGATATCATGTTGATTCATTAGATCAGTAATCATGGAATGTTCTTCAAACCCAACAAAATAAAGAAAAAGTTACAACCACCAAGGACAATAGATATGTCACAACCACTATCGTCAAAAGTCTAGCAAGCATTGACTTTCCACGATTCCAAGGGCCTCAAAAAGATAAGAAACTCAGATCCATGAACTATTTATTATACAAGCAGTAATTATTCAGTTCTAAGCGTGTGAAGATCCTGCAGATGTTTCCTCAAGAACAGGTACTCATGTTGCATCCTCTCCAATCGGTTCTCCATCATTTGCATCTCTCGATTAAGATTAAGCACCCTTTCCTCCAGCCAATTTATGACTTCTGATCGCTCACCACCAAGGCTATTTATATAGTTTCCTTGGGAAATCACATGAATTCTTGGAGCTTTGGTAAGCATGATGATGCAAGCCAGCTGAAACCAATGAATGGAGATGAATCAAGTGTTAATGATTCACATAATGAATTGGGTAAACAGATGAATTGCAAGATGAACAGCTTGCGAGAAAAATTAAACCCCCTGAAAGAATCATACGTCCAACATTGTGCAGTCGTTAAAAAATATAGGCTGTATACGTTCAGTTTAAACATCTGCTAAATAATAAGTGAAGACATGATGAAAAAAGAAGAAGGAAAAAAAAACCCAGGACAGGAAAGCTTTTGCGCTCCTTCTACTTCTTTTGTTTATGTTTTAGAGATACTGAATTAATTATAACTTGATTTCTAAAGCCGATACTTGATGAATGTTAACATCTTTTCAACAGATAACCTCAATTTAGGACAGGTTTTCTACCCTAAGCTGCTATTCGTGGTTAGCCAATTTTGGATGATAAAAACTTCTAAGACTACAAGTGAGCACCCTTCTGTCGTGCAACTCCGCCTTACGAACATCTGACTGTTACTGTCATTTCAAATGATACAAATGGAAAATGGATTACACTTGGCTGGACTCTTTGAGTCACCATAGGTACCCACCCAACCCCTAAAAAAAATTCGGAACTGAACCTCGTGCCTTCTGTCACACCCTGTCTCCACTGATTGCATTTTCCCCAAGCCCCGGACTCTTCTCTTCATATAGTCAACTTCTCCAAAGAAGCATTAAAGTTCCTCCAAACTGGGCCACTGGCCTACAGAACTTTAATGCAATCAGTGGAGACAGGGTCCGGGGGAAAGCAACAAAAAGAGAAATATTGTTAATGGCAGCAAAGTGAGAATGTGGATTAGGATGCATAGAATATTATTTTTGAGTAAAGGATTGTACGCTTGGATCAAGAGAAAAGTTGTCTGAAAGATATGGTAGTAAGATCTACATAGAAATCGATGGATGTCTTCTAAACGAATAAATGAATGATTAATTGATATGCGATCTTTTAAATTGACAAAGAACAGTACTTCTTCAGAGAAAGAAAACGAAAATCCTGAAGGTGATCATCCTCCTAATGTATTTAATATTTTATACATCAAACAATTCAAAATGCAAATTTCATGTGATCCTGCAGAGTAAAAATGGAACATATTTGGGCATAGGTCTATTGTGCTACCGCCTAGTTGCTAGCATCATAACTCATTTTGTCACTGAATGAAAAATAGTGAATAGGACAAACAAATGCAACCAATCCCCTGATTCATTTCTCATGTCAGCCCCAAATAAAATTTTTAGTCACCTGCATTAAGAAAGTGACGGCAACAAATGCTACCACCATAGTCAGATGGAAGTTTGATTGTCTCTTCAGATGCAAGCCAAACGCTGTGCAAGAATCTTTTGAAATGGATACGACTGATGTGGATAATCTAAGCGCCTCTTGTATGGGTCCAAAAACTTGTGATATAAGACTCCTGACATCAGAAAGCAAAATTGGCATCCTTTTGGAAGATTCAGTAACATGTAAACGACTTGAATAGTGTTCATGCTTTGATAAACTATCCCTGACAAGATCACCGTCGTCACTAGTGCCTGTGGCACAAGCAAGGACACCTGACAATACAGAACAATATCACAGATGAGAAAATGAGTCCAATAAGTTATTACCGTCAACAATTCTTCAATAACTTAGTGAAGAAACATTGAAAGGGTGATTTACACGTCAAACCTTGATCTTTTTCTAACAGTCTTTGCTTCACCAGTTCACGCGCCTAAAATGAATTCCATATTCCCAGGTAAGTGATGTATTTGGACCACCAACATGAAATTATACTAAAATAATCATAAGACAGGTAACCGTACATTTTTTATCCAAATCGCATAAACTTCACGGCATTCATCCCGTGTTGATTGCTCTATTTTCCCTGAAAAATGATATTTTAGAGTCCTCCATCAACTGAGGATATGGTAATGCTCATAGAAATAAATTTTTCTCCAAGTTCAAAAACCATTGACTTGAGAAAAGTTCCATACAGGAATTGGAAGAATTCAAATTAAGGGACATCAAAGGAAACCAAGGTGCATAAAAAAAAAATCCCAAATTAGCAACTTTGAAAGCTTATCAGATTTTTTACCCCAAATATGGGAAATATTTTTCATAACTGAAAACTTAGAAAAAACTATTGCGTTCTTTTCCTTTTCAAGTGATAATACGATAAGGCTCCACGCACATGTGCTAGAAGGAATAAGGCCCAAAGCCCAATAAGTCAATAACGGTTAGCATGATTAAGAGAAGGCACAGTTATGCCAAGGAACAATATGACAAGGAACAGTTATGGCAAAGAGCGGTTATGGCAAAGAGCGGTTATGGCAAGAGCAGTTATGGCAGGAGGGAAAGGAGAAGATATAAAGATGGGCGGATCAGGAAGGAGGGGGAGAGAAAAGAAAAATCAGTGTTAGTATCTCATGCATCTACGAGAAAGGGTTGGAAGGTTGTATGCGACCCTCCATCTGTTCTGGGTTCTTTTACTGTGCTTTATCTTTGGTATTTCTGTTCTAGAGATTGTTTCTTTCATCTAATACGAATTATTCATAGTTCTTTGATCTAGTTTCTTATCACACTACTATGTGATGAAGAAACGAAAATGGGTACATAGCAGAAAACAAAGCTTGAAATTGATCTATTGATATATTCTCTTCATTATAAAATAAAACAGTAGTACCTTTCCACAAAAGCTTTCTAGAAAATGCTACATTTATATACAACCTCAAATGGCAGCAACTTTCTCCAGCAGAATTTTGTTTAACATCCCAAAGTCCCTGAAACAAAGCACATCGAATTGCTCAGTATCAACAGTGAAGTCTCCTGAATGATGCGGCTACAGTAAGGCCATAGTATTAGTCGCTCAGTGTCAGTAGAATGGAACAAAAAATAGAATATTCCTAAAAGGCATGCCCCAAAATGTTGTCTCCAAATAGCAAAAGAGAAAGAAGCATGGAGTGCTACAATTAGGAAATACCAGCAACAATGTAATTGCAGTTAGGTAAATGATAAGTAAAAGAGATTGCTAGTCTAGTTACCAGAGCCTCATATTTCTAATAAAACATTTGAGGGACAAATGCTTCAGAAACATACCTGAACGTGAAAGTAGTCCCCAAAGGGCACGTCACTAACTTGCTGCGATGTTTCAATCACCAGATGTCTGCCATTATGAATGTCAATATCTATCCATACGTATACTAAATAGTGTAAGAAGGCAGATAAGTGAAGATGTAACAAGAAGAATTCCTAAGAAAAAGCGAAGTACAGAGGGACAAATCAGAGACATTCTGTCATTTGTAGAGACATCAAATTAATAGGCTCGACAATATAATACTGTATCAGCGAAGAAAAATATGAGACGACTACCACACATTGAACGACAATATACAACTGGAGGTCCAGGGGCATTTTGTGTTAATATGCTTTATAAGAAGCGATGAAGGCTGGAAAAAATGCAACTGAAGGCCTAGGGGCATAATTTTTGGTTGTGTGATTTTTAGCGTTGCTAATCCTCTATTTGTGGAAATGGTGAGATGCACATGGGTCTACACTAAAGGATCTTCCTACAAAAGGAACATTTGGAGACAACTCAGCTCACCAATTTTTGATGAAGCTAATTGGTTTGACTTAGCTGTGATGGGCAAGCAATGACACACTGTGTTGTACTAAAGAACACTTGAGATTTCGCCTCCACTTTGATCCAACATTTTCTATCTAACAAATGTCATGTTATTTTTCTATTACAATAGTGTCATTTTTGTACCTCGTTTGAGGATCTTACCTAAAAGCCCCAATGAAATTTGAGGATCTAATAAAAAAAAATCATCTAGCCTTAATCCTTCAAAAACTTACGGATCTAGCATTAAAAAGTAAGATTTCATAGTAAAATAGAATGTTTTATGAGAATCCAAAGAGTATGAGACTCACTGATGCACCTCACACAAGTTCATCTGATACCATTCGCTCTAGTCAGTATCTAAACTAACTGTGTCAACCACAAGTCCAAATGGGCACACGTATATATTATTATAAGCTTTGCTCAACACTAGCAAAGAAGATTCTTTATCAGCAGAGCAGGGACTAAAATAACGGGAAAATTTTAGCGCTGACAAGCCACTTTCCAAGAAAACCTCATGCCCATTCTCATGATTAATTCAAGATCGCATTTTAATAAATGCAGATGTAGTTGCCACAATGACAAGGATATGCTAACATTTCTTTTCAAACACACCGACAACTTGGTTAATCTAGCACTCTAGTGACAATGGCGGAGAGCATTTAAGCCTCATCAACTAGAAATACTAGGTGCAGATGAAACTTATTCATCAGCTTTCTTGAGAGGCTGTCAATCATACATAACGTGCTACACATCTTGATAATGCATAGCTCCAGTGCAGTGAACACGAGCAATTGTTTTATTCAACGTATGGAGAAAAAAATCTAGGTTTTTGCTTCATTATATCAAAGATTAATTACCGCATTATAAAGAAACTTTCATGGATTAATTAAAAAAAATGGATGACAGACGTTGATCCAGATTTCACGACAACATAATGCAGGTACATCTGAACAATCATATACTTGATAATCCTATCCATCATCTGATTTTTTCTTCTATGATACCAAGTACTTGAGTAAGATAAATAATATCTATTCCAAGATATGAAAGGTAATATGATTATCATAATAGAAAATCGGGAGTAGACAACAAACTACGTGGTTCATGTGGCTCGTGACGAAGCATAGTGATGGATTACCTGTTTCTGTAGGCACGAAAATTCTGTCTCTCTTGACAACTCCCAGATTTTGGGCCTTAAATACAAATGACAGTTATTGGAACAGGAGAATAGTTGCAAAGAAAAAGATAAAAGAGAAAAATCTCAAGGTACAGAATGAAAGACTCGGGAGAACTATAATACCAAAAAGTATTTTTAGGGGATGAGTAAATGACAAATCACGAACATGTCCAAACTGTTCATGCCGCCGCCAAGTAGTGCATCGAAAATCTGAAGGACGAAAATCCTGAATGCTTGAGGTACACAGAAAAAGCTACACATCAAATAGCAACATGTGATATAAAACAAACCTCTGTCACCACAGTCTCGTCGAAACGTTTGAAAGAAGTCGATGGCATCATTTGAAAAAAAATGGTGGAAGAATTCCTCAATAGTAATCTACATGGACAAACAGTCCAGAATTTAAGTAGAAAAAAGAAATAGCAGAAAGAATTCAAGAAGAAGAGAAATAAACCTACAGGAAATGTTGCCTCATCAATAAAAGTGTAGTGGTCAGGCACTGCCAAAAAACAACAATACAAATGTCAAATCTAGGGTAAAATAATGATCAAGAAAATTAGAACTGAGGACGCATTAGGGGATAAAAATTGATGTAAGCGAAATCATTACACATGGTCGGTATTGCATAAAAACTAATAAAGGAGCATCATAAGATTGAATCACATTACATCAAAACCAAATTCTTTGCAAGCAAGTACCAATAACGTCATACAACTAACCCTTAGGAGCATCAACATCATCAATCTGCCAAGTGGATGACACACCACTGGATGGGCCAGCAATACGTTCCACAACATTTCCCTGGATTTCTGAAAGCCCGGCTGGTAGACTAATACAGCACTACGATTAGAGATAAGCTTAAAGACGCCAATAGAATCGTATTCCTCGTGCATCATGAAAATATAGGATCATGAATAAATTCAAAACATGCCAGTTAAATGTTATACCTCTCAGTAAAATTCAAATCAATGCTAGGTTGTGGTAACCCATTGCTTTCTAACACGATAACAGCATTCTCCTCGCTACCATTTTCAGATTTGGAATCCTGAATAAGAGAGATCTCCATGGATTATAAAAAGAACAATAACGTTGTAAAACAAGGAAATTCTACTTGATTGCATTGAAAGCTTGTAGATAAAACACAGGACAAATTAATGTATTTTTAAAACTATATAAAAGTCACATTTGCATCAAACATTTAACCCAAAACTTGACCAAACTATCTCTTCAAAGCACATTGACATGAGAAGAAAGAAAAAAATTCGGGAGAGAAGAGGGATGAAGAGAAAACCACAAGAAGTGAATCAAGAAAAATTTTGGTCTCCATGCCCTGGAGCCAAGAAATATTGCCAGACATTCATCATTTTTCATTTTTTCGTTCTCTGTAATGTCGTATTTTAGTAGTCTACTAATAGAGCAACTTCAATCTGACTGAGAATATAAACATAAAATCCTAGATTCACTCAAAATGATTCTTTCAATTCTTAGGAAATAAAAAGACTATAACTGACAAAGAGTGGCATGAAAAAGGAAATATATCTTATGATAATGATAACCAAAGCTGCAGGGGTGCAGTCATCAGTATCCAAAGAATAGCCCTGATCTCTTTGCCAAAACTAGACCCAACATCAGGATCTCAATCTACTTCATCAGCTTCTCTTTGCAAAGATGAAAATATAGTGAAAGTAACTGATATTCATTTGCCTCAGCATTCCATTTGTCCAGTTTTCCGCATCATTTTTACAAAGAATCCTGACAAAGACAGAGAATGTCCCCTAATGCAGACATCAGACCCGAGATCACCAGAGAAACTGTTCCAGATCGACAGACATACAGGAAAAAGACTGACTAACAATACGACTTACCAGCAGCGAATGGTAAAAGATACTTTTCCGGAATAGCATATACAGCTCGTCCATAAAATACAAGCAAATATACTAATCGGGATTAGATTTAAATTGAAAATTAATATTTTCAAAATACATAAAACTACTCAAATTGACCAAAGGAGCATTCACAAACAGGTAAAAGTACTATCTAAGTAACATTAGAAAGATAGCGCAGCATAAAGCAAAGTGTGAACCTGATTATTGAGAAGTTTGTCAGCATCAGTACTATGCTGTGACCATCTATCTAAGATGAGTCGATAAGCTTCATCACGGGACAAAAAGGATCCAAAAAAGTGCTGCAAAAATGACAGTTTCATTTATTATAGATGCTAATATACTTAGATAATACGCAATATACTTATTCCATTGAAATGAGAATAACACAGTTCAGCATATTGAAAAAATTCAGAAAGTTACTGTCCTTCCTAGGATACCTTCTTTTCTCCGACCAGTATCTCAATGGCATTAGGAAATATACCCGCAGTTTTTGCTTTTTGAACCATTGTAACATCTCGAAAAGGTATTTTTCTCTACAAAAAAAATTCAAAGAAATTTAGATTCTACACCAACATGTCAAGAGGTTTAGAGGTGAGCACCAACATGAACCACCTTTTTCGAAAATAAGGTAGAAAATGAAACGAGTTTACAACATTTTAAAGTAGAAAATGAAATTCATTGAATCAGGTCTTACAAAATCAACAAAGTCAAGCATTTAAAGATCATGGCGATAGCAGATGACAAAATGAACTAGAAGAGGGAGTAAAATTTCAGTATCATGTATATTGGCATGACCTTAAATCGACGTTTGGTACTAGTAACTTAAGACTGAACAAAACTGGCTTGATTAACTTGAATCCGGATGAGACATTTGTCGTAGATTTTAAACACGTATGTGAGGAAACCCATTATTCAATAAAAGCATGTTAAACCAGGGTGAGAAATTAGGCAGTCCAAAACTTTGAAACATAACTCAATAAGAAATATAATGCGGTAAATGAGAGCCTGAAATTGAATAAAAGCTAACAGAACAACAAAATGTCCGTCGAATGACAAAATGTCCACTGAACAGCATGATCTGATATGAAACAAGACCAGTATTTTACGACTTGGAGCTAATTCAGCTGAGTCATAAAAATCACAGTTTTTAAAGGTCTTCCCAGATTTCCCAGATTTAGGAAATATATTGTTTCTAAAATTAGTTCATCTATAGGCTAGTAGGAGAGGAAGCAGAATCAATCCAAGTCAATCCGAGTTATAATCAAATGTTCGTGACCAACTCTATCTTCTTCACCTTTACAGATACAATTTGCGAGGTAGTCAGGAAGTCAAAACCAAGAAAAGAGGAAGAGGGAAGACCGATCATCTAAGACTAATCAGCCATGTTTTTCAAGATGGCAAGAGAAACGCTGTGTTCATTTCAGTGAAGCAAAAAGATCCTTTCAATAACGTCTCAGTAGCCATGATCTATCAGATGCATCATGCAAATTTCATGATGCATGCGTATTATCAGTAGAGACATGACTACACAATGAAATGGCTTTAAATAATTAGTGAAAATCTGATATACTTGCATAAATATACGACCATCAAAATCCGTCCCAAGTCATAACTACGAATCACTTGAATACCTTTGTCTCAAACCCAAAAATATTGGCGTAGAAACAGATATGGTGAAGAAACAAGTACATATGGCCCTGATAAAAAATTCAAACAGAAAATTGTCAGATGAATCTTCAAATGAAAAAAATGAGAAAGAGCTCGACTGCCAGTATTAGGCCAATACGGAGAACAGATTTCAAAGATGAAGTGTCAACAGAGGAAATAAACAATTACCTGAATAAGAAAATTCTCGTGAACTGCACAATTGAAATCTTGGATAAGCACCTAAAAATCAAAACCAAATGCTGTCAATGTTACAATAGACAAAAAAGTCAGAGATCAACTGAATAGATTGAATATTCCATAAGTTTTTTGAGACCCGCAATCCTTCATTCTTCAGAGTAAAGAAAAAAAATTGGCCAATCAGAGAATTTAATGATAGATTATTATTAATCTGGCATTAAACTCCACACACATTTAATGATCAGCTTGTTGAAAAGTTTCCATCACTCTAAACTAAGCAAGCTCAGTTAATCAATAAACTGGAACGAGACTGTATGGAAAAGATCAAAGAGGTACAAAAAATAACTCCATGATTCTTGATATGAAAACTCTCTATCTTCTGTATTCTCATGATATAGTTCACCCATGACAGGATGTTGATATAACCTTGGCATGATTAGACGAGGATGAGGACCACTAGAAATAGCTTGAAGGCATTCTAACTACATTCCATGAATGGTGAGAGTGGAACCAGCATTTGGTACCGAAAGTTATCTTCACAATTTTGTTTTGTACCTTCTATCTGTTCTTTTTTAGCCATTATTAATAAGAAAAATATGCCGATACTAAAGCCTGGTAGGATTTTCACTTTTACATGGGGCAAGGTGAAAGTCTGGGAGAAATCTTTTGTTAATGAGAACGAAAGAATTGTTTCATTATAAGCATTTGAACTGGTTAAACATTTATCATCTTAGTTGATGTTACAGTTGTGCAAGAGGTTTTTGAGACCAGAGTAGAAATATTAACACATACGCATGTCTTTATTTATTATATTCAATGAATATGAGATATTACTTGGCATCACAAAAAAGGATATTCCAAAAAACTCATTTTTTCAACAACAATGAAGGACTTGGCATCATCAACACCAGAGATATCGACTTTCCATTGCAGCATCAAATAAAAAATCATACTTGCTATAACAAGATAAAAATATAAGATCGTATCCTAAGTGCTTCAAGAAAATTCTCGCATGTTGAGCTAATTGGGACAGAGGTGTATATTGCTAATAGGTAAATAACTTTCTAATGAGAAGACAGGGCATATGCAATCCCGCATTTTCTACCTAATTCTAAGGGAAGCACAAGGCCCACATGTCGATGTTCCACAGAATTTAGTGAAAGAAATTTGGTGGGAAAAATTTAGAAGAAATTTCAGGCTGGATACCCAACCACTAGAACCCATGTAGGTTTACCTTAAACCAGACACGATTAAGATCAGAGACAGACGTGGCACCAAAGACTTGACAAAAAAGATACATTCACAGAAAATCAGTTTATTGCATTACAAAAGATAGAGACATTACAGAGCCAATGGGGTTTTGGAGATCCTCATCTCTAGAAGAAGTAATGAAGTTTACAGGAGACTACCTACTTATAAGCTTCAGTCTTTGTTTATAGATAACAATGACACCATATAAGAGATGTCGGGAGAAAATCGTAACTTCAGAGCATTTATTCCTTTTACATTCAACTCTCATAAGATTTAACTCATAGTATATCATGTTTTCAGTATGCAACGACAACTACATCTGAGTGAAACGGGAAACTTATGGTTAATGTGGCAAAAAATTCGATACAGAAACGGGATCACAAGATTTGGTCTCGTCTTTTAGATAACCCTCCAGACAATTTGAACCGAGAGAAATATGTGCAATTACAGAAATACGAGCGTCTCAATGGATGTGCAAGTAAATGTAGACAGAATCAGTGAGTGCAAGAGATGTTTTTAAAATAGGAATGACCATGAATGTGTCACTTCCGTTCAGTATGGCCTATTTTCACCATATCATATATTTAATGACGTGATTTGATGTACTTATTGATAAACATTCAAAGTGAAAATGATCATGTCTCGGTATGAAACATACTATTAGGAAGAAAATTGATTTAAAGCATCTCAACGGGGTATTTCAGGATCTTTTATCTGGCCCAGAAAATAGGGATTCAATAAATCTTAATCAGCTGACTTTTTTTTCCAAATCAGCACTACAAATAAAAAATTCGATTTGGTTCTAAAAATCAGATTGGTTATTGAATATGTTTTCCAGGAACTGATGGATCAACGGTTCCATTTATAAATTAAGTCATTTTCTGAGGATGAGAGGTAAATTTCGTACTATTTCAAGTCATACTAATAAAAATCTACCGAACGGTCAGAGTAGCTGCGAAAACTATTTATTAATCATACGAACAGCAACAGAGTTGCAGACGGACAATTTAATTTTTTCTGATTTGAAGCAAAAAAATTGAATTATTTTATTAAACAAGCTCGCTGAGCTTCAAGAACCCTGCCATAGAAACACGCAAAATAAAAGTCACCTAAAGCGCTTAATCCAGTATTGTAAGCCTTTGATCCACGGCACGACTTGAAACACTGCTCCCTTGGTAATCGTAACATATACGGAAAAAAATAAAAAGAGAAGAAGTTCCAAGGAGCGTCTTAACACAGGTGTAAAAAATAAAAGAGAAGCACATACATCATCATGCGGAAGACGAAAAAGAAGCCGGTACTCCTCACTCCTGGCAGACATGACCTGAGTCTGTAACCGCAATCTCCATCAGGTTCACCATTACCAGTGGACGGCCACAACGGCTCATGGCTAGTTGCAAAATCAGTTTGAAGCAGAGAATGATGCTATTCACGATGAGAGAGGGTATACCATGATGTCAGCGTCTGCGTCGGATAAAGAAAAGGGGCGGCTGGAAGGGGAGCGGTCCGAGGGTCCAACTTCTTCCTTATGCGAATCATCGGGGCTGTCGACAGCCATGCCACTCCCTCTCCTTCGAGAATTCAATAGCCCCCTTCGTTATCAGCTTTCCACCAGCCGGCAGGGAGACAGGCCTACCGATCACACAGACGCAACCCACGTTTACCGGCAGAGAGGCAGAAAAAGGGCTCGAAATTAAGGGGAATGTGGGTGGATGAGGACTGGAAGCGTTCGCCGGCCGTGTCGCCCGATCTTCGGGCGGAGTATTTAGAGAGAGAGGAGAGATCCTCCGCTCCGCCGGACTGGCGGCAATGTTCAGTCCAGTTGCCGCTCCGCTCAACTGGATACGCAACTTTTTCTTTCGTACCCCTGAGACTCTATCTATTTAGTTTTCACTCCATTAAGTTCATTATTTCATCTGATAACTCACTCGGCCCGCATATTTAGGTACATGGATCTAAATTCAATACCGATATTGGTAGAATAGTAAGTGACGTAATTTTAAAGGCTATAATTAAAACACTGCGTCGAGGCGCTAATACGTCGCCATAACACGCGGGATGAGCCGCATGAAAGCCACGTTTTCATTGGTCCGAGTCGTTCTCAAGGCCAACAGAGACTAAAACCCTTCTCTTCCTCACGCACTGCTGCGACGACCGGTAGTTTACTGAGAGCGACCTTGACGCCCCGGGGGGGGCCGCTTGATCTACGTGGCAGTCCGGAACTTCCGACAGGTCGAGGTCAGAGTTGTCTGGACTCGCCGCGTTTCCGTCGCCATCATCTACGCAAGTGAGGAGGCTAAGGAAAGGTTAGGTTAAGAAAAGAGGACCGAGCAACAGCTTTCTCTCTCTCTATCTCTCTATCTCTCTCTCTCTCTCTCTCTCTCTCTCTCTCCCTCTCCTCTCTCTCTCTGGAAACTTATATGATAAAAGGCTTCTACTCCAAATGATGATTTCAAATTGTGCTACAATTATTTAAAAGAAAGTAGTGGCCAATGAGTGAAACGGGCTTTACAACCATATTCAGTTTATTTTATTTCTCAACCATTAAGAGACTAATTAAAGTCAATATTATCAAGTAAATTAGGTACATGTCTCTTAAGGGCAACTACATCCTTCGATATTATGTCAAAGTTTTTATAGAGCAACTAAGCACTAATTAATTAGTAAATATTTACTGCTATTTTAGGAAATATAGGACCATTTCTTTACAAGCTGATATATCATAACTTATCTCACAACAAATGATTAGCCTTGAGCTCAAATCAGAACCCTCTAATAACATATTTTCAAAAAAGTAGTAGAAACTTTGCTAATGTATATCGTGAGATGAAAGACCATGTGCTTTTAGTTCAATTAAATGAACTAACACAAATAAAATATATATATATAGATATTGCAAAAGATTATTCCATCACAATGGAATGTTAACAATAAAAAGTAGTAGATGTGGTAATATTATTTAAAATTAGTTGATAAAAAGCACAAAGTGGCTAGTGCATTAGAAAATTATGTGTACACTAAGCAAGGAATATATTGAGCAAGGGTAATATAGTTCCCATTATCAATATCAATACTTTGCATCAAATATAAATTTAATGTAAATTTTATTCATGACATTAATGCTTTTAATTTTTCTGCATATTTTTTCCAGAACATAAGTAGAATTAGTTGCACATCTCTCTCACTAACTTGATCAACAACTTGATTAAAATTAAGACATAATAAGATCAATAAATTTTAAGATGTTCAAGAAAAATACTAAACCTAAGTGTAATTATATTTTTTAAATTAAGACATGTTAGATCATTGAATACATGATATTTTAATGATGAAAAACAGATATAAGACCAATTAAAAGAATGAATTATCAAGTTAAATATTATTGTGAAAATTATCAGTATTTACAGGAAATATCTCAGTGAGAAATATAGTAATTCAGGTACTCACATCAACAACATTTTGTGAGGTGAAATGTGAGTATTAAAGTTGACACAATCTTATTTCGTGCACATATATTTATTTCAGTATACTTAGATGGAATAAACATTAATTAAATTGATCAAATTTGTATCATTAATTTTGAAATGTTTAATTTATAAATATTAATGATAACATATGAGGAAGTAGTTTTATTATTATGAATCATTAAAGTCATCATTTTATGTATTGAGATTATATTCTAATATATCTTCTAAACAATCATGTCTAATATAAGGTTATTAAAATTATTTTTAAGGGTCAAATTGTTGGTTTATAAAACATAAATTATATATTCTTAGTTCATGCTACTAAATCTTCTTCAAAATGATTTGAACTGATACAATTCGGATAAGAACAAAATATCTTAGTGAAAAGACATGCTAATTTCACACAAAGATATCCAAATTATTTAATAGACACATTGTATCAATCTCTTAGTAATTTGAATTTATATTTGCTTCAAGAAAAATTAATATTAGAAGATCTAAAAAAAATAGAAAAACTTACGGATGTGATTTACCTACTAAGGATTCTCAACAACAAAATGAGTGAAAATGACTATCCGTATCTTAACTACAAGCTCAAACTTGAGAAAATTCCTCCACATAAAACCAAGGGAGAAATCTTAAAAGTCCCCTACTAAGTGGTTGAGATATGTAAAGATATTGAGTCAAGGAACTTTCATTAACATTTAATGAATTCTTAGAGCTGGTTTAACTTGCAATGCCTTCCAAAGTATATGAGTATCCTTGTGAGAGAAAAGGAGTAAGGAATACAAGTCTCAAGTATCTTCCTCTATATCAAAACTCTAAGCGTACCTCAATTTGCATCATCATCAAAAAACATACCATTGGTGATAATTTTAATATTTATTTTGAGATAAAAATTGAGATAAAAGTGATAAAAAAATTAGTACTATGAACTAAATAGTTTCAAGGAGATTAAATTAAAACTTGTCAATGGTGGTTCAAGAACTTTCTCTCATAGCTTTAACACCTTGAAAGTTTTTTTTATGACAACTAAGTTTGAAAATATTTTCTTGTCATTAACCATGGGCAGTTTTTTTCTTGAAAGATTCTTTTTTTCTTTCATGATTGATCTTTTTGTGCTTACATGTTGGGTCTTCCTTCTTTGCTCTTTTAATATTTTCAATTTTTTCTATTTATATAAATCTTGTTATTTTTCTTATGCTCTTCAATAGTCAACAAGGACATTACGTATCATTTTGACAGGGAACAACATATGTCAAAAAAATAGCTTTTATTCCATGAAAATAATCTATCCATTTTTCATGAGTGCTAGACTAATGCAAGATTCTTCTACTAATTTATTATAGTGTTAATCTCATGTTGTTGCATGATTAATAGGTGATTATAAGTCCAAGCATGTATGCTGGTATGTTATTTTATTGTGCTATGAACACTCTATGTATTATCACATATGGGTTTTTATACTAACTAATATTTGAGCATAAATTTCATGTATTGAGATATTTTTCTTTATAAACTACGTTATTTCAGAACATAAGTATAGGTTATTTATGTGTCATTTTTGTCTTTAGAAGCCGATTTCCAAATGCCACAATACTAAGTCTGATGCACTTTGCTATTCTATGATGAAACATGTCATAACTTAACAAAATTGACTTTAACATACTCAACCTTTCCTCAATGCAGTCAGATATTCATGGATTAATAAGTATACAAATTTCTAATTTGTAATGTGGCTCGTAATGTACTCCATTATTTCATAATGTTAGCCATCATTATTAACTATTTCACAACATTACTCATTTAATTTCTTGGATATTCTATGGCACTACAAGAAATAAAAATGGGAGTGAATTAGATTTTTCATGATTTACAAGAATAATAACATTTCAGTCTACTCAGACTACTCCATTATTTAGGGACCATGTCCTTAGTTTTATTAAATCCTTAATATTTACACTAAAGCTTTCTAGGCCTTCATTATATTTAATGGCTCCAACTTGCTCATACATTTTCCCCAAAAGATATTTTATATATTCACAACATTAGAAGGTCCACTAAAAATTACCCAAATTATCTGTTCTAGATTTATGGCTCAAAAGTTAATAGTTCTAAATTGATTAGATTACTAAAAGTATTAATATATAGGGGAACAAACTATCACGATAGCTTGATACTTTTGAAGACTTGACTTCATTAGTTGATAGTGTTGAAGTGGCTCCAATTGATGAAGTGATATTCATCCTTGATTGATTTTCCCTTCACTAGAGACTTGCAAGGGGAGCATTCATTCTATCTATTTTCTCTCTAATTCCATGTGATCATTCTATTAAGATAGGTAACAATATAGTACCTAATTTTTGGACTGGGTAATACTTGAAAATATTGAATAATGCTTTTGATGATTGGATTAGGTAACATCTTGAAAAATGATACTGAAAAGTGGTAACAATATTTGATTAGGTAGCATCTTTCGAAATTGTCATCATTTTCCATGATTTTCTTATTACTTTAAATAAAATATACTAAAACACAAGAGATCACAAACTTCAACATAATTAAAAAAAATGAAACATTCATGCATTTAAAATGAGGAATGTAGTTATATTTGGCATAATGGTTGGAAGAAACTAGATTAACCATTGATAAGAAAATATTTTATTTATGTTATATCAAAAATCTTGGATTCACTCCCTTGACTATTTAACATCATTTATGAGAATACAATCAACATTAGCAAAGGTTTGCCCCTAAATCTGTAGAATTTAAGATATTCAATGAGATATTGATGATGATGATGATGATGATGATATTATTGAATGAAGACAATTATCAGCACATCCACTCCACAATTGGAAGTGGCAAAAATGATTTATAATTGGGAGGAAGAGATAAGATAAATAGTGGTTGACAAAATGTAAGAAATTATGAGAGAAAGAGACATCTTGACTAACTTGACTAGTGAGAATCAGACCCGAAATCTTAAATTGAATGAAACTCAATCTAATCACATCTTAGCATGCTTTGAGAAAATAATATCTGCATAGTTTAACCCATATATGTGACAAAATTGAAGTAATATATCATAATTGGGGACTATTGCACAATCAACTCACCATTAGGAGCCGGAGTCAGGTAGGTTCTGCCCGAATCACAAGCAGTAGGTGGGTGCTTAGTGCCCGGTCATTACCCTTTTCAGGGCCTCTTTTTTGGTCCTGAGCCGGTGCCATATTTCATGGGCTGACCTATAACCCCTCTGGTTGGTAGCGGGGGAGGAGGTAGGCCCAAAAGATTCAGAGGCAAGGCTGCCTGGCTGGCTGGTGCTATGACGTGGCACGGACCCCAATCTGCCAGCGTGGTCCACTCCGGTCGGGCCCACAATGACACGAGACTTAAGGCCAGATGGAGTCCACGTAGGTGGGGGAAAAATTCTCATACCCCCCCGCCTCCTTACCCACCGTATCCGGATGACGTGTGATTTTAGTAATAAAAACCTATCCTTTATGGGGCGCATAAACTACGCTCTCACGGCGTATGACAGCGGGGCGATGCTTTTCCGTGCGTGCGTGCGTGCGTAATAAATGCGCCGGGCTGACGGTAGGCGACGCTTTCCGTCTAATGGTTCGCACGCCGTTAATCACAAGCGTTAAGGGGGGCTGACGGCGTGGAGAACACCCCACGGCGACCGTTTATTAGATCGTTAAGCTACAGCTGAGAGCACAGGCGTGTGGAAGTGCGGCTGTTGGGGCGGAGCTAAAGAGGGAGGAAATCTCTCTCTCCTACTGCGGCAATTTCTTTCTCCGGTCTTCGGCCTCCTGTGCTGCTGAAGCAGAGTCGCTGCTACTGCTGCTGCTGCAACTGTTCTGCCTTGGTAGACTCTGTCTGTCCCTCTCTCTCTACCTGTCAACCCAGTCTCTCTCTCCCAACATCCCTCTTGTTGTTCTTTTACCGGGTTCTGCGCTGGGTGGGGAAGAGGGTAGGGGATCTGAGGGGGGTTTTGCGACTGAGAAGCCCTAATAATCGATGAGAGACGCGATAGACGGTAGAGATCTGTGGAGGGCGGTCGGTGAGTTCAATCTGCCGGATACGGTGTCCCTTTTCCGCAGCGGTGGCGCTCGACGCGGATGTCTCACAGGTCCCCATTTCTCACCTGCTATTTCATTTCTGATTCAATTGGGGGAGATTTCACCCTCAATGTCTTGTCGACGTTTCTTTTTTTCCCTTTTGGCTATTTTCTCGAGTTTTTTTGCTTTGGTTGAGGAATGCATTTCGTAGTGGAAAGGAACTTGGGAAGAGAATGCGGGAATTTCTCTGGTTAGTTGTCTTCTGCTTCTTGGGGGTGGCATTTCCCGTCCATTTGAGAGCGAAAATTGCGTTTTCTTATTTCTGCTTATCGTCAGAGGATTTTCTATGATATCATGGGACATCTAGTCGATTTATCTTTTTGCACTTATGTTACCTCGTTAAATCTAAAGGAAATATTTGCGACAGCTACAAAAACTGCCGATTGATCTGATGTAGTTTTTACTTTTATATACTACTTTCAGATATCTGAGAGAGGAGTAAGAAAGTGGCATGCTGCTCGATTGGCAGGTTTTTAAACCTCTGAAGCGTTGGTTGGATTTCTGCTGGAGAGGAACGTGTCTGATTTACGCTAATTAGAAGTGTCTCGTTCTTGGTTTAGTTTCATTGGAAATTCTGATTGTGAGAAGTCACGGTTGCTCTGGTGTAGAAGGTCATTTAGGATCTGCTGATTCTTGTAATGCTAGAGACCTCTTGTGATGGAGAGTCTCTCCGAACCCAATAAGCTGTCAGGGAAATCTGCTTCTGATTCACTCGGGCATTCTGTGATTGAGCACGTCTCGCAAGAGGCTTCACAGAAAATTCATTGTTTGGATTCACATGAAGAAGAACGTAAAGGGAAGAAATTTTTAGAAGAATCGAAGTTAGATTCAGCTACCATGGCTTGTGATGCTTGTGATGATGGATTTAACTCCTTTTCGGGGGTAAGCCATCCTCCAGAACCTGTTGACGCTGATATTATGAGGACAGTGTACGTCACCATTGATCAAAACAAATCTGATGTGGGTTGTTTGATGAAAGGGCTGTCAGGAAAAGGCCCTTATATAGAAGATCTCTCCATCCGGGTTCCTGGAGTGAAACCTGATGCGATTCTTGTTTTGCCTGCAGAGAACTCTGTTGAGGAGGCCGACGAGTTGTGTGAAGTATCATCTCCATTCTCTGTGCCTCGTGAATCAAAAGCGGCAGAGACCACCTCTTTACACACGGATTCTGAGGAGAAGGAATGTGTATGGGATGCTTCTCTCCCACCGAGTGGAACTGTGAGCCCTCATGGCAGCACTGATAATACTGGTCCGGGTACATCTTTGAGTGCTATTAACAGTTGTTGTACAAACATGCACAGAAGTAATGGAGTAACCGCTGAGAGTATGCTTAGCATTGAAAGAAACTCCGAGAGTGGAAAGGGTAGTGTTAAAGGAGAGTCAGTGGAGAGTGCAAAAACTAGTCTCAGCAGAGCAAGTGACAGCAGTGGCTTGAGTGATGAGAGCAACTGGAGTAATATTACGGGAAGTTCTAGTAAACCTCACAAAGGGAATGACCCCAGATGGAAAGCCATTCTTGCCATTCGTGTCAGAGATGGTGTATTGGGGATGGGCCATTTTAGACTGCTCAAACGGCTTGGCTGTGGTGACATCGGTAGTGTTTATCTTTCAGAGTTGAGTGGAACAAGGTGTTACTTTGCAATGAAAGTGATGGACAAGGCATCCCTTGCAAGCAGGAAGAAATTGACCCGGGCTCAAACGGAGAGGGAGATCCTTCAGTTGTTGGATCATCCTTTCCTTCCAACTTTGTATACACATTTTGAGACTGAAAGGTTTTCTTGTTTGGTAATGGAGTTCTGCCCGGGTGGTGATCTTCACACCCTGAGGCAACGGCAACCAGGAAAATATTTTTCTGAATATGCAGCAAGGTATAGTCGAACTTCTCATATTTTTGTGTGGATCATCTCCTGATACTAGCAACTAAACGTATTATTGACGCCTGAGGAATACATTATTACATGCTTCTTGGTTTCAATCCTCTGGGCAGCATAGTTGCTTCTACTATTTTCCTCCATTCTTCATACATGTTCCATCACTAGTCACTCTTTGCGACGAATCAGTTATTTTTATCTTCTTCTTGCCTACTTTTATCTAAATAAAACAGTGAACTAAAAAATTCGAGTCTATTGTGTTGTTTTATTGACAAAGTTTGACCTATATGAATGTTTCTTCCTAGTTACATCCTCATTGTATTGCGTAAAGGACTTCCTCCATCTAAACGAACAATGTACACATGGTGTAATTTATATTGTTGAGTTGGCTACCTTGCAGGATCTATGGAGACTGACAAACACACCTCCCTACACTCCGATTTTTTAGCCCTATGTTCATTATGTCCTCCTGTCTTGATTATTACATGGAAACTGGTGTATGGTTGGGCGATAGTTTTTTTGCACAGCATGATATTTTTCTCTTTTTACCCTTATCTTATATTTTCTACTAGTCCCTTAATAACCGGAGGAGGGAAGATTTCTTGGTCTGTTGGGCTGGGAGGCAGTGATTTAGTCATGCAATTGCAAATATTTTTCGTATTACATATCACCGTTGTGAGGTAATGAACCCCGCATTGCAAAATTTGCTTTCTCGAGAAGGTCTAAAAATATGGGTTAAGCCTGCTTGATGTAAAGAAAAAGTCACGACGCATTTATTCACTGAGTGCCCACATGGAAATTGTTTCTTTGAAAATGATCCGCACCCTGCCAAGGACAAGAATTGTGTAGTAGTACCGGAAACTTGCCCCCCTTAGAGAGCATGCCCATCGATCTGAGGTGTTATTTGGGGTCTTAGGGCAGATGGGCTGCCAACTATTAACACCAATTTGATCTTCCAGACATCAACGGTGGCATAGTTCTCTTGATAGTTGGAGGAGCTAAAATGGGAGCGAATGGTATTTTCCTTCAGAATTCATGATGACTCTTCTGTGGGTTTGAAAGAGTTTCTATGCCATCTTCCTGTAGATTGCAGTGTTTCAAGTTTATATGATCCACATTTGATGCTTCCTTCCATCATCAATAAAGAAAAGGGAAAGAAAACATATGATCTCATAGAATTATGTAGACACTGATTTGGCATATGATAGGCAAGGGTCCTGGAGGAGAGCCGCCACTGAAAATATGGCTCAGAGGGACCTGTCTACAGTCTTTTGCAAGGTTCTTAAGAGCATCTTTGATCATCCCAGGTCGATAGGTTTGGGCGGCCGCGGATTTGGGAAGAAGGGTACTGAGAATATGGCCCGTCTTCTTAAACGCTGACTTTTAGCCAGGATTTGACTTTCAGTTGATGTCTGATGAGAGCCTGCTTAGTTTCATCCTTCCTGTTTCCGGCCAAGATTTTAACTTTTTTTAGTGTGGATGGATTAGTAGACGATGAATAGAGTAACATATTGTTGAACTTTTCGTGGGCAGATTCTACGCTGCGGAGGTGCTGCTGGCGCTAGAGTACCTCCACATGCTGGGGGTCGTCTACAGGGACCTGAAGCCGGAGAACGTCCTCGTCCGGGAGGACGGCCACATAATGCTCTCCGATTTCGATCTCTCTCTGAGATGCACGGTCTCGCCAACGCTGCTCAAGAGCACCGTGGCAGACTCGAGCGCGGCCGGGGGCGGCGGCGGTAGCGGCTCTGCCTTATGCGTGCGGCCGGCGTGCATGGAGCCCTCCTCGGCCTGCATCCAGCCCGTCTGCTTCATGCCGAGGCTCTTCTCCCAGAAGGGCAAGGGCAAGAAGACCCGGAAGCCCCGGACCGAGAGAGGAAGCGGGGGCGGCGCCGCCGCCGCCCTCCCGGAGCTCGTGGCGGAGCCGACGGGGGCCCGGTCCATGTCATTCGTGGGCACCCACGAGTATCTAGCCCCGGAGATCATAAAAGGCGAAGGCCACGGCAGCGCGGTGGACTGGTGGACCTTCGGTATCTTCCTCCACGAGCTCCTCTACGGGAGGACTCCCTTCAAGGGCTCCGGCAACCGCGCCACCCTGTTCAATGTGGTGGGGCAGCAGCTGAGGTTCCCGGACTCGCCGGCGACCACCTACTCCGGGAGGGACCTCATCCGGGGCCTCCTGGTCAAGGAGCCGCAGCACCGGCTCGGCGTCAAGCGCGGCGCCGCCGAGATCAAGCAGCACCCCTTCTTCGACGGCGTCAACTGGGCGCTCATCCGCTGCAGCACGCCCCCGGAGATCCCCCGCCCCCTCGAGCCGGAGCCGCTCCCGGCGAAGCCCGGTCGGCCGCCCTCCCCCACCGCCGCCGAGACCCTCAAGACCGGGGGTAAATATCTGGATTTTGAGTTCTTCTAGACACCACCCCCCGCCCCCCACCGAACCTTCCCTCCTCCTCAATTCATCAAATCGCCCACCCATGGTTCTCCCCCCACTTTGCTTGTAAGCCTGAAAGAACCGCGTTTAAAGCTTGTGTACGTCGACCGCCATCCCACTTTGTGTCGAGAGAGAGAGAGAGAGAGAGAGAGAGAGAGAGAGAGAGAGGGAGAGAGAGAATGTCGGTGTAGAGCAAGCAGTAGGCTGCAAGCTTATTCGGGGACACATGGATAGATGGCACACATCACATTCGAGGGCGCGGGATTCAACAGGCGGAAGGGAGGTGTGGGTCGAGGGGTTTCTCTCTCATCCTACAGTGAGAGTGACACTGACGACTAGGAGTGGTGCTGGGCGTGCTCGACTCGGTGCTCGAGACGCTCCTTGACGTCGTGGGCCTTACCGGCGAGCCGCAGCCGCGCCTGCTCCAGCTGCTCCGCCCCCGGCGGGTGCTTTCCCGCGGCGTACCTGTAGATCCAGGACAGTACCGAGAGCGCCGTCAGCGCGAGCCCGCCGGCGGAGACGAAGCCCACCGCAATCAGGACCGCTGCCGCCGCGGCTGGCAGGAGCACGGGGCTGAAGATGACCAGCAGCGGGGTCGCCAGGGTCAGCCCCACCACCGTGCCCGCCAGGATGAGCCCCGACAGCAGCAGCATCGACCCGCCCGCCGTAGCCGCCCCCACTGCCTTCGCTGCCCCGTGCGACGGTGCCGCTTCCTCCCCTGCCTCGCGGGCGCCCCGTGCGCGCTGCTGCTGCTGCTCCGCCATGTTGCTACGCCGCTACCCACCAGCCGGCGAAACCGCACGCTACCGAATATAAAGGAGAGGGGAAGGAGGACGCGCGGCGGCGGCGAGGGGCAACACGCAGAGAGCTCCGGTGCTGCATGCCAACGGCGCGCCGGTGCCTGACGCGTGTCCTGGCCACCGCGGGAGCCCAACGGGCCGACCACCCAACCAGCCCATCGAGAACATCCCCTCTCCTCCCCATGCGCTTAATGTAGATGGTGAGAGTTGGGGGAGGAGGATGGATGATGATGACCTCGATCTGGTGGCCTCTCCAGACAGCAGCCAAGTTACAGATTGTCGTCGCTCCAGTCTCCAGACAAACTTGCTAAAACTAAATGCACGCAGAATCAAGGCCATAGAGGAGGAGCTTATATTCTCACAAGATTGTTGAGGTAACTCCGATTTCCCTTGGCTGGAAATCTTTTTGATGGAGCTGTCAACCTCGGCAGCATTTACGTCCAGCTTCCTCTATGATTATTCTTGAGCAATTATCCATTTTTAAAACAGTCGCAGGACAACAGTTCTCTACTAAACAGTTTTTTATATAGAAAACACGCCACATATACCAAAATATGAAAATAAATGCAAATAAAATGTTGAGGAAATTATTTATGAAGGTAAAATCTCTAAAAAATTCCGAAATCACCTAGAAATAATGGAGAAATTGTTCAATAGCATTCAAACCATCCGTGGTTAAACTATACATCATGCGAAGTTAATAGAGAACAAGAATCATAGAAAACAAAAAATGGATAACCCACTTGCTGCAAATTCAATAAAGCATACCATTGAGATGCATTCAATGGGTAAACAAGGTGCAAAGCAACCTCTTTATAGGCTTCGCTTCACCACATCCACGTTTTGAGGGGGGCCTAATGTCAACAATGTTTTATTACCTTGAATACTCCAATTACATTTTTTCTTATTTCCTTCATTGCTTGCATGCACATGCATTTGAAGTATCATTATTTTAATCTAATCATGCCTAATAAATTATAACATTGGTAAACTAGACACTCATTGTGTTTGGTTTGAAGCAGTCTAACTTCAAGACTTCAAGCCCAAGTAGGTACGGCATCATTCTTCTAATTTATCTACAGTTTCCTACAATTTTCAACTAAAAGTCATCAATCTTCGGTCAACTTATTGGTTTAATGATCATGCCTTCTCTAACTTAGCCTTTCAAAGGTGATAAAAGAAACAATATTTTTGTAATCCAAGGACAGAATTATCACTTTCCTAGGTCTTATTTGTTTAAGTATCTTGATGTTGATAAATAATAATAACGAAACATAAAAAGAAAAGTTGATCATAAACATGCTATTTTGCAAAAGTTGAAAGTTTCAATGTGCTCCAGCCCTTCTATCTACACAAAATCATTTCAGAAAAAATGTTATTTCCTATTGATCTTACAACGTACAAAACTAATGGGTGACCAATTTACAAGCTAGAGAATCAAACCCAATGTACAAGTATGCCTCCTCTACTTAGGATTGGAGATTCCTGACCAAGAACAACACAATTGAAAGGGAGTGGGATGGTTTCTCTCATGCAAATGCATGTTGACCTATTTTGCTTCATCGAGGGTCTAATTACATGTAGTTTGGCAGAAAATGAGTCTCCTAATATGTAGAAACTGGGTATCTAGTTTGTAATTTTTGTCCACAAGTAATTAATTAAGGTAAATGGTTCCTTCATTGCTTCGAAAGTTCTAGTTTAACAGATGACAACTATAAGTTTTGTCATCGTTCTATGGGCACCAGCTTCCATAAGTTATGTGTGACACAACCGTGATGATATTTCACTTGAAAACAATTTCTTCAAGTACTTATCAGCCCCAATCAAAATGTACTAGTTATAGTAAATCAACTGCATTATTCCCATAAAAGAGTTAATAAGCACTTGACAAATCAGCAAGTTCCCATGCTTCACCTGATTGCATCAGATGTCAATGGGCATCCATCACCCCCCTCCTTCATTCTCACTTTATCCATCCATATGGGGAATTTATTCCCCCTTTTGCACTTCCATAGCCCCACCATCTCTCTATCCCTCTCTCTCTCTCTCTCTCTCTCTCTCTCTCTCTCTCTCTCTCTCTCTCTCTCTCTCTCTCTCTCTCTCTCTCTCTCTCCCTCCCTCCCTCTCCCTCTCCCTCTCTCTCTCTCCCTCCCTCCCTCTCCCTCTCCCTCTCTCTTAGCTCCTCCTACCTTTCTTCTCACTTTTGGCACATGTATGGCGACTGGGTAGTTGGCGGCATAGATTCTTGGCCATTGGCCAGGTGATACTCTTTAGTTTGACTCTCCGCTGTCGACGATTCCGCGGGTAGATCAATATGTGGGAAATTTAAAATAAACCCCTATGCAGATGCCCTACGAGTCATCTTAATTCCCACCACTCCGTTTTTCCCTGGGCCAGCAGCGTCTCCTTACCTATCCCCAAAGACAGCAGGGGTTGAATATGTCAGCGCAGCTTGCCACGTCACCTGAGGATTTCCCTCTTGGTGCTGTCACCGGGAGCGCACATGCTCATTATGGGGCCTACCTGGCGCCGGAGCCCACTGTGACCTTCATGGGTTTAATGGGCGAAATGTACAGCTGGCTGGATCCTACATGGCATGGGGAATCTCTCTCTCTCTCTCTCTCTCTTGTCACGAGGGAAGCGTTAATCGGAGAGAATGAAGAGAGAGAAAAAGGAGAGAAGGTCGGGTGACTGACAGAAGTAGAAGGTTGGGTAAGAAGAGGAAGACGTAGAGGAGAGAGAGAGAGAAGGGGTAAGAGTAACCCGGAAACGTCTTTCTAGCTCCTCCCCAATATCGAGAGGACCTGGAGTATTTTACCCATTTTTGCTCGATTTATTAAATTTTAGCCATTTTTAATATTAGATAAAAAATAGTTTAAAAGATAAAATTAACGCAAGATAAAATGGGTACATAAAACGAATTTATTTCCAAAATAAGTTTATTACGGTTTAAACAATAAAAATATTTTAAAGATAAATACTTTATTGCTCGAAGACTGATAAACTTATTTTACCAGAGGCAGTATGGTGGGTAGCTGACCAACCAATTAGGTGGCACCACGTATCTGTCTTCTGGTTTGGGACCCGCCTTCGGCTCAGGTTTAAATGTAATGCCAAATGTTATTGTGCGATTTATGGAGGGTCATTTAGTAATTTTTAGGCCCGATCCCCGAGGTCCGGTTCGCGGTCGGACTCGGCAGTGACGGGCGACCGACTCGCTTTGGACCAGATAGAGAGAGAGAGAGAGAAGAGGGGGGGGGGGGAAAGATCGCTTTCTCTCCCCTTTTAAGAGAGAGAGAGAGAGTAAAAGGTTTTTTTTCTCTCTCCTTGGGACACCTCATTGCACGAAAATCTTACATCATAAATAATGGCCCCCGTGCTTGGAAGGGGAGGGGAAGCCCGAGAGCTCCCCCCTTCCTCCCCTTCTCTCCCTCCGTTGCACGGCAGCTTTCCCCCTCTCCCCTTCCCTCTCAGGGCTCCCCCCTTCTGTGGGCTCTCGTCCTCTCCCTGGTGAGCTGGTGAGGTGAGGGGGGGGAGAGAGCGGGGATGGGGTGTACGTCGTCGAAGGTGGACAGCGAGGACATCGTGCGGCGGTGCAGGGAGCGGCGCCGCCTGATGAAGGAGGCAGTCCACTCCCGCCACCACTTCGCCGCCGCTCACTCCGACTACCTCCGTTCGCTCCGCCTCACCGGCTCCGCGCTCTCTGCCTTCGCCACATTCCAGGCCCACCTTTCTGTCTCCCCTGACCTCGCCGGTCCCGTCCTCCTCTCCCGCCCGGATCTTCTCCGCCAATCCTCCCCTGCCGCCGCCGCTGCCGCCCCCGCCGCCGTCCACCATTCCGAGGCACCGCCTCCTGCTCCGGCGCCGAAGTTCTCTGAGGTCCCACCGTCGCCGGCATTCAACGGATTCAAGCTTCCTCACATCCTCTCAGAGTCCAGCCCGACCGCCACACCGGAGATCTCCGAGAGGAGGAGCAGGAACAGTAAGCCGAAAACGTTCCGGAAGTATCCTTACCTCCCGGAAAATTCCACCTACGCCACTACCCCTTCCCAGGCCTCTTCCGCCTGGGACTGGGAGAAGTTCTATCCGCCATCGCCTCCCAGCTCCGAGTACTTCGATCGGCACCTAAAAGAGGGGCATCAGGAGTGCGAGGAAGGCAATGAGGATGTCAGCGATGGTGGCTGGCTTCACCGCCATCACTTGCCGAAGGATCGGGTTCTCGACGACGACGACGATGACGACGAGAGCGATGACGGCCATCAGCTCCATTGCGGAGAGGAGCGGGAGGAGGTCCGTTGCAGTGGCTGGAGAGACCACTACAGCACCAGCAGCAGCTCCTCCGTCAAATCCGCCGGGGCTAGCGAGCGCGGCGATCTCATGGACGATGACGACGACGCAAGGTCGGAGGTCATCTCCGCAACGCGATCGGACTGTGGATCTTCCATGGACCACCACTGGCACTCTCGATTGAATCGTCACGCCGGACGAAGTCTGCCCTCGGAGTTCGCATCCTCGTCGGCCACGGGAATATCGGGGAGGAAGGAGGCGACGGGGACGTCGACAACCACCTCCTCAGATTGGCCTGAATCGTCCGTCAGGCGGGGAGCAGCGTACGACGATTCGGTGCTCAAGATGGTGGTGCGCCACCGCGATCTGAAGGAGATCGTGGCAGCGATCGAGGAATACTTCGTCAAGGCAGCAGCAGCCGGGGAGGGCGTCTCCGATATGCTCGAGACCGGACGGGCGCAGTTCGAGCGCAACTTCCGGCAGCTGAGAAGTGAGTTGGTTTTCGGGTGGCTCATCTCGTAACTTCGTTGAACAACATGGCCATTAATCTCTGATCAATGCAGATTTACTTCCGTTGTTAACCATATTGATCACATTCTCTCCATTAACGCTCGATCTTCTGCTTCCTCTCCTGCAGAGACTGTCTACCACTCCAACAGCGTCCTGAGCAACCTGTCAGCGAGCTTGACGTCGAGACCACCGCTAGCCATACGGTACCGGCTCGATGACGGCGCGCTGGAGGATCCTCCCGGTGGCGGGGACGGCGGGAAAGCCAGCCACTGTTCCACCCTTGAGAGGCTTTTAACGTGGGAGAAGAAACTCTACAAGGAAGTAAAGGTACGCCTCCTTCGCTACTCTCAGTTTACTCTATATTACTTAGACTGTCCCCTTTCTCAAGGGGGGTTCTATTGCCGTACCAAAAGGAATTGAGGTCGTCTTCTTGTGTCTGGCAAGAAATGGCCTGCCATTATTTATTCGGTGGGAAGAATTGCCGGCAGAGAAGTGGGTCTCTATGATAATGGCTTAGATTTCTGGAGCGCCTTCTTGGCGGATGTTTGCCTGCTGGGAGCATGGGACAATGACACCTACTCTGGTGGCATCGGAAGGAGAGTAGTATGCACTGGCAAGTGGGATGGAATCCAGTTGGCTCCCACGGAGGATCTCGTACAATGATCTGATGACTGATGGCATGAAAATAGCGAATAATTACTTCTCCTCTGTGAACAAAGTTATGATCGATGTCATTATCTGCTCCTGTCCGCACCCATCTCTTTTGACCCAGGGACATGAGACGGGCCATCCTTTGCAATCTTTATTCCCAAAGTCAAAAGACGAGTTTTGGAGGAAGTGTTTAGGATTTTGTGCCTTTTCGTTCGCCGTATGCAAGCAGACCCTGGGTGAGAAAGTCTCAGAGACGTCAGCTGGGATAGTTCAGTTCCTTCCCAGCCCCATCCTCTAGTTTTCCAATCAGAAGAAGTATTCCCATAACTTAGTTTTTATGCGAGGGGGCTTTCATTCCTGAGCTGGTAATGAATGTTAAACTATCTTACTTGATGACTGAAGGAGGTATGAATGGAAGAGAGCTTTTATGAAGGGAAACCAATTTGTCAGAGAACCCACTTTTTTTCCCCCTGTTTTTGAAGATCTGACCACCCATTTACTCTAATGATTGAATCTCTCCTCCCATTTTGCACTTGATTGGTATAGTAACATCCCTGCTCGTCCGAGTGAGAGCATAACCCTTGCTGCCCTATGAGTTAAGAGTTTTATCGCCTCGACCATGTTTGATCATCATCATCTTCTTCTTCTGAATCGTTGCTCTGCATCTGAGATGGACGCTGCTGGTTCGTAAATTCATGGTGCGCTGGTGCCCCTTGACTTCAGGATAGAGAGGGAGTAAGGATAGAGCACGAGAGGAAGCTGTCCACGCTGCAGAGCCTGGAGCGCAGGGGGCGATTGGACGAGAAGATGGAGAAGGCCAAGGCCTCCATCGCGAGGCTGCAGTCTCAGATCATCGTCACCTCCCAGGCCGTGTCAACAACCTCCTCCGCCATTATTAGGGTTCGCGACAACGAGCTCGCTCCCCAGCTTCTCCGGCTCTGCTGCGGGTACACCCACTAACCCACCCACCCACCCATCTCTTCTTCTGAATTCTCTCTCCCTCTCTCGCCACTATAAGAGGGTTAGTTCTGAGAGGTGTTTTTGTTCGTGGTGGGGTAGCTTCACGAGCATGTGGAGGTCGATGTATCAGTGGCACGAGGTGCAGAACCAGATCGTACAGCAGGTGAGGGGGCTTGTGAACCATTCCGCCGCAGTGGAGTCCACCTCGGACCTGCTCCGGCAGGCAACGAGGGACCTCGAGTCCGCCGTCTCCGGCTGGCACTCCAGCTTCGCCCGCCTCGTCAAGCACCAGCGGGACTACGTCCGCTCCCTCCACGGCTGGCTGAAGCTCACCCAACTACAGCTTTCTGCCACCGCCGCCGCCACCGCCACCGCCGAGAAGGACCAGTGCCACTACTCGTCGCTGGTGTCCGCCGAGCTCTGCGCATTCTGCGAGGAGTGGAAGCAGGCGCTGGAGCGGCTGCCGGACGCGGTGGCCGGCGAGGCCATCAAGAGCTTCGCGTGCGTGGTGCGCACCATCTACCTGAAGCAGAGCGAGGAGGTGAAGATCCGGAAGCGCGCAGAGGGCTTCTCCAAGGAACTGGAGAAGAAGAGCCTCTCCCTGCGAGGGATCGAGAAGAAGTACTACCAGTCCTACTCCATGGTCGGCATCGGCGTCCTCCACGACGCCTCGCTGGACGGGAGGGGCGACCCGCTGGCGGATAAACGGGCGGAGATCGCGGCGTGCCGGCGGAGGGTGGAGGAGGAGACGGGCCGGCACCTGAACGCCGTCAAGGTGACCCGCGAGATGACCCTCAACAGCATCCAGACGGGCCTCCCGGGGGTCTTCCAGGCTATGGCCGCCTTCTCGGGCCTCCTCGCCGACGCCCTCGAAGGGGTCTGCCGCCGCCCTCACTGACCCACCGGCCGGCCGGCTGCTGCTGTTATACGGCTACTGTAATGATCAGTATTAGTATATGTTCCACCGGTAGTTGATGATTTTTGGGCTCTTTTCTTGTACAGACCGAACCGAACCCTTGTGGTATCGTCTCTCTCTCTCGCTATCTTCTAGAATAACGGTGACCGTAGTACTTTCTTTCTAAATTCGGCATTAATATAACTCCCTGTTGGACGGTCTGATATTTTGTCATCTTCCTCCCGGCAGCCGCCTCTCTCTCTCTCTCCTGTTTCTATATCCGAAGGCCGATCCACAGCCACCGGCGCTCCGCGCCGGTTGACAGCACGCCCTGGATACCCGGGGAAATCCTACTCTACCCGCAGCGGGCTACTGCTTCCGCCCATATCAGATATGGAAGACCAAAACTATATATTATGGGAAAGATACTTAATATGGGTCAGAGCTTATCAGATTCCACACCGGTTGATAACAATTAGCCCACCTAAATTAGTCCACAAAAATAAAAATAAATGCGATACAAAAATCTTAGTACCCACGGATAATCATATTCTCATCTTCACAACAATGCAGGAAACAATCATAATGTTTTATAATTTTTGACTGTACAAGTCGTCTCCATGGACATAACCTAATATTTTTGATAAAAATATCGATGAAAATGGGTATAAAAATTATTAGTGTGCACCATGACTTGAATAATATCAATGGGTCTCTTGGATTCTCGCTCTAGAGGGTCTTCCCAAAAGGTGGAATATTTAGTAATCAACCAAATGATTTTCCGGGGGGCATTTTTTCATCACTATTTTTAATTTTCCAATTGTAGATGACACTTTTATTCAGAGACCAAGGTAAGAAAATGATTTCAACCCCTGCATTAAGTAGTAAATAAATTATGAACTTTCTTCTAGGATTTAAAAACTTAAAGGCCCCAGCAAAAAAATAACTTAATCATTCATAAAATAATAATAATTATAGCCCAGAACCCATAAATGTACAAAAAGGAACAGCTCCAATCCCAAAATATGGATTTTAAGGGTTGGGAAATTTGTGGAAATCACAGAGTCTTTCTTAATGTTCTAAAGACGATGACTTTATCTATTCAAAATGACTAAAATTTTGTCTAGACGTTGACTTTAGGTAGTGTTCTTGGAAAATGATCTTAAATAGAAGTATTTCCACAAAAAAATTAAGCGATCCACAGCCGGAGCTTGTGTTGGAGACGTGGGAAATTATATTAAAGACGATGTTATGGGCTTGATTCTACTTCAATTTGACAAGTTTTCATCTACTAAAAGCATGATAGTTTGTTGATTCCGTGGGGTGTTGTTCTCTCCATTTTTCATCTCACTTAGTGGCGACTTGATCCACCCTTTGGTTTGATAATATAGCTTCAGCTGTACCACCAAAATGAGGCGACATCGCCATCTCTCTCTCTCTCTCTCCCTCTCTAGAATCGTACAATATAATATTCCCAAGATTTCCAAAGACCCAGCAGGGTTCAGTGTGACCTACAAAGCTCGGTGCTTCGGAATAATCATCAGTACAGAGATAGAGAGGGAGAGAGAGAGAGAGAGAGAGAGGTTAGTGAGTGGTGGCGGTGGACGGACAAGGAAGGAGATGCTGCACGCGCGAGTCCAGACGCAGCGGCACCGCTGGCTTGTCGGAGTGAGCGGTGGAGTCGGAAGGGTGGGCCCTCTGCGTCGACCGCACGCAAAGGTCTCGCGCCGCTACGGCCGCCTTTATATCTTCTTCCCCTCCTCTCCAGACAGCCGCCGCCGGTTTCCCATCGAATCCGAGTTTCTAGATCGCTGAAACTGGACAGTGAGACAGATGACCAGACAGAGGGCCCTCTCCCTGTCGTTGCGCTCAAGAATTTTGACTTCCGGTTGAGGAATTTCTTATCGAGTTCATGGGCTACCCCGCTAAGCCTTTGCCATTTGTAGAGAGAGAAACAGATAGAGAGATAGAGACAAATTACATGGGCGGCCCCGCTAGCCCTTGCCTGTCGTAGGGAGAGAAACAGAGAGATCCAGACAAATACATGCACATGTGCAGCGAGAAAAGGATCGGAGGTGCGGGAGAACAGCTCGTGGGTACCACAAAAATCTCATCTTAGATCGGGTATGCATGAGATCTCGTCTTTGACTTGTCCCTACGAAATAACCCCTCCATGCTTCTACGCCAAGCATTCGGTCTCTCTACGGGCATTAAATCATGGCCGTCTTCAGATGCCCCAACTCGACCCACCAAGAAAAACAGGCCGTTTTCATGACGGAGATCAGAATAATTGGAATCCATTCCATAACGCCATGAAAACCCGCGAAGCAGTTTTGTACACACGGCGAGGCCCCCCATCGTTCAAGGTAGACCAGGTCAGAAAGCTAATCACCCACTTAAGCTACATCACAAAATTGTGAGCCCAGCAAGAGAGAGAGAGAGAGAGAAGTATTCACTTCAAATAGGTGGAGGAAACCCAGAGGATGTAGCTTATCAAAGAAAGACCAGGTCAGACCAGGTCAGAAAGCTAATCAGCCACTTCAGCACATCACAAAATTGCGAGCCCAGCAGGAGGAAGGGAGAAGAGAGAGAGAGAGAGAGAGAGAGAGAGAAGTAATCACTTCAAATAGGTGGAGGAAACCCAGAGGAGGATGTAGCTTATCAAAGAGGTCGACACTTCCAAGCTCCTCGGTCCCTGAAGAAGGGGAGGAATCACAGACACCATCAAGAAGGTGCCCAGCAGCCAGGAGAAGGCGAAGGCTCCAATCCTGCAAACCCACCAAAGACCCTGTCACAAAATAAGAAAAGACAACCCATTTGAAGAGATCTCTGGCTACTAAGACAAGATTGCTCCAAATGGAAGCTGACAATGCCGCCAAGCCTGGGCAGCCGCCCTTCTCCAACTAGACACAAGATTCTTGGACCAACGACAATAATTAGCTTAGAGAGAGCAGCTCTTCTGGTTAGTGGCTCTGGGAACTTAGTATTTAGTCCTCGCTTCCCCTAATTAATCCATCTCAGATAACCACCAGGGTGGGTCCTTGTTCATACGAACCCAGATGACTCCACTCAGAGAACCTCTCAGGCAATCTGACTTTCTCCTTTCCACCATTCTAATGGTGAGTACCCACATAAAGTGTAGTGGAGATGGTTGCAGCCAGATAATGATAGACGAGCTTGGAGAGGAAGAACTCTCTACCAAAATGAGAATCATTTTATGAAGAGAAAGTTCCATGGAGAACTCTCCCTTGCACCTGACAGAATTCAGATATTCAAACCAAATATCCATATGACCTCTCAGTGAGACGTGGGAAAGAGATTCTTACATGGAAATTTACAGGTGGAATAACTAAAACATCTCCAGGCGATTGCACAGATATGAATGATGTAAATGAGGCAATGGTATGATATGTTCACTGCCCAATGAGGTAGATTGGCAGAAACCACTAGTACCAGAGACGAAGTAACAAAGCAATCGTGCACAAGGTTCAGTAATCAATGAATATTGGAGATGCTCTCCCGGGTCTACGAAATAATAATTTATCACACCTTGGCACCCAAAAAGAAAAGGCTTGTGAAGGATCTTGTTAAAAAATATAACTATTCAGTTCTTCACCTGCACATTGTACTCATGTTTCCTTCTGCATAAATTATCCACCCTCACAAGAAGAAGAAAAAAAGACAACGACCACAGCATTAATGCTGGTTCAAACCCCAACGCCTCTCCTTGAGAATTTACTGGGTCAGTTTAGACAATCTCCAAGCACGTTGGAGAACAGAGGCAGAACAATTGGATGGTTCACTTCAGATTAGGGAATCACTTGAAGCACAATGTGATGAGACACTTACAGTTTATCGAGATGGCCTATCTGTCTCAAAATTGTCCTCTAATGGCTATTAAATCGGTCAGCCTTTCAGCCTTCGATTATTATTTCCAGGAAATGAGTCTCAAATTTCTACGCATTCAAGCGTCCACACATGTTTCATACAATTTACTATCGTCCGCAAGTGTCAACCCTAATAGGTCTGGTCGTATGTTTTGATCATATAAGTTGACCACATACATCTTGGTTTCGAGCCCTGTGGTCTTGATCACCCATGGGTGTCGACCCATGAGAATTTGGCCTTTCGTTCTCTTCAACAAGTATCAGACCCTATCAATGTCTTGGCATTATTCACCCACCAAGCATCTCAGTTTTATCTGCTGATTGCACTGTTCTCCTGAGTACTCTACATCTTGTCTTCTTTAACTTAGATACGATAGGATTCCAACCGTTACAGCTCATTGAATCCTTCCTGCAGGGTATAAGATCTGTGAAATTTGAAAATTTACATTCATAGCTGTTGAAACAGGGATCTGACCCGTCCTTTGCCTTTCCTGTTGAGAACTTGATTTCATTCTTGAACTATGCATGTTTTAGCTCCTTCCTTTAGAAGCTTTTCCCTTGCTTTTAACCAGGATATGAGAGTAGTCACAGTGGCCACTGTTATGGCTGTTCTCATAGAAGGAAAAAAGTTGTCAAAAGAATACAGGAGATGGCTTCTGACAGTATTGAAGGACCTTTCCCTTTTGATTGTTTAGAGGGACACGACTGTCAGCAGGATGAAAACTATAACAAAAATCAATCTTAATTTCCTTACCATGTGAGGAAAATCTACAATTCTTACCGTATGAAAAATGCAGAACATTCACGAGCCAATAAAGACTGCAAAGCATCCAACTGGTGTCATGCTTTTACCGTTATGAAGGTAAGCACGTATGACAAATACGAAATAGGGGGACAACTATTACCTATTCGCCTCTAAAAAAGTAGATTTAAATAATTTCATTTAAGAAAAATTTCTTGGAGCTAAGTTCACACCTTACATTATCTATTTTCAAACCAAGCATGACCCTTTAGATTCATTTGGCTCGCATGGTTCGTTTTAAAATTCATGGGGATTACATACATGTTATTGTAATGAGTCCATACTGTGTTTCACATTTGATTTGAAATATTTCGTTGACTCGGATATTTACCCCTTATCTGAACACATTTGAGCCTACAAGAAAAGATAGCTGCAGAGGATAGTGAGCATGCTCTACAAGCAGAGGATCTAACACAAAATGCTCACACACAATTCTCTATGCTCTTATCAGAGAACGACTAAAGGATACTAGAATACTACTAGGAGTGTTTATATCTAGATCTTTAAGTTGATGAAGCACTGTGCTCCTATTCAATGAGCACACATCGCATGTACTGCATCAGAATGAATTCTTTTCTAGGTACATCTCTCTAAAGCTGTGGAGTTGTGATACGATTCTTCTCAAAATGACTTGCATTAGCAGAATTTGTTTGTTATACAAGGAAACAAACTTTAACATGCAAAATATCAAAGAAGGTAAAGGCATCTATCGGTTGACCGAAAGGCATATATATATATAACATTGACCTTATTTCTACAATGTAATGTCCGAACTCACAGAATCTCACAATTAATAAACGATTATTACGGCGTCCTATATTTATGTAGAAGATTATCATATTCAATACTTCTGGTAAATCATCATCATAATCATGAAAAAGTATAACTGTCCATGAACTTTTCTGCAAATGGTGTAGAGCATATACTATAAACGCACATGGAAATTCTAATCATAGAAGAATTCTGATATCCCATGACAACAAGATAACAAATTAAAGCTGAGGAATCAAGATCAAAACCACATCAGTTGAGAGAATTCACAAATGAAGGTCATTTTCAAAGAAAAGGGGACAGAATACGAATAATAGATGAACGTGCGAATGTAGGATTGGACACCACTTAGCTACGAAATTATTTATCATGGCTGACTAAAAATGACCATATTCCATGCACAAGACTGTAAATTTGCTATCTATGATAAGAACATAAACTTACCCATACAGGACTGATCTGAGGCGGCTACGAAGTCTTTCATAAATAAAATACACAGAAGCTATCAGAGAAATGGCTACTTGAAGTGTCGGGCCTTCTTCCGTAGGAAATAGAACAGTAAGAACTCCAAGGATAATGAATACAATAGCGGTCTTGATAATGACATTTCTTGATGGGACCTGAAATCTGCTTGTGATGGCTTTCACGATACGAGATTGTGTTATATCTCTAACCCTTTTTTTAATATTGATCTTCGGTCTTTTCCTTTCAAGTAAACTCTGGAGGATTATCTTGTCATGTGCGGATTCTATTGCATCCACACTTGGTTGATGCCCGGCATATTTATTTATCAAAAAATTCCTTGCTGCTTGAATTTCCTCTTCAGAAGCATCTTGACTTATTCCAAGCCGTTTATACGGATCTTTTACATTAATGCGCGGAAATATACCTGGGATAATTTAGAGTGAGAGAGTGAGTGAGAGAGAGAGAGAGAGAGAGAGACAGAGAGACAGAGAGATCTGAGGTACTTAACAATGTCAAGAAAACAATCAATATATGACATAATTAAATCGATATGAATGAACAAAAAATAGTGTATATTGAAAAATATATACTAAATACTATTCATTGAATGACACATTGAATTGAACCAGACAAAGAGTCGAGCCATGAACGCAGATGGGTATATATATATATATCTATGACCCTTTTCTATTTGAATTCAACACAAAATAGTGATTAGAGTGAACCCAATAAATAATAGTTATGACCCTTTTCTATTAACATAAGACTAAAGCCAAAAATGTCATCCAGGCACCCTTACCATATGTTTTTCAAGAATATGAATTTACTGCACTGAAACAGGCAGTGAGAGCAGAAATAGGGTTTGCTGACCCGAATGACTACATTACACTCATATGATCAAGCTTTCCAAGGTTCTGATCATTGGTATACCCTATCTTTGAAGACGTTTTTGGTTTTCTTTTTAATCTAAAACTTTATCGTGTTTCAAAGAGTTCTCCGTCCATAAACTCTTATGCTATTGCAAGGAGATGGTCTGAGCAGTCAACAGGCCAGGTCAGGCCTTATAATAGCTGGCCCAAATCTAGTAATATCCTCGAGTCTAGGTGAAAATCTTCACTATAAAAGGAGACAGGACATCCTAAAATTGATTCACAAGATGTTTGACACCCCGTCACGAATACGGTGATATGCTGATCTATCCAAGGATTTGCCTCCTCTGCCCCATTTCAATTTCCACAAACTTCTAAGTTAAACAGCAATTGACCTGCAAGTTTGGTGAGGAGGTTCAGCTGCTGTGTTGTCTCTTCCGAAGGAAGATTCCTTTTAAATCTCGGACACCAGCATCCTCATGTTACATTAAGACCGAAATTATCAGCTGCTGTTATAAACAGACATGCTATTCCATAAAGCATCAATAAATTACCTTTGAAAGATGTGTCTTGACATCATTGGTCTTTCCAGAATAATACTGCAGCCACTTTCAAGGCATATCTCGACATCTAACATCACAAGGTCTCTAGTTCTCTAATATATCTCCGCACCCTAGTGATATTAGCAGAGACACTAGAATGAAGATCTCATAGCAAGTCTCCTCTATAATATTTCTGCAAAATGATATCCTTCCACACCTACTTCAAGCCAACACTCTATTTGCAGTAACTTTACACCCTCCCCTGTCTAATGTCATGCCATCCTCTATATTTTATGCCAATACCTTGCCAATAAAACCATCTTTGAATAGCCTATAATGTCAAATATATAGTTGATGGCATAAAAAAAACGTTAAGTAATAAATCTGCAAACTAGGGGGAAGAGCATCGCATATTAATCATCCCCCACTACAGGAGACCTTTTGAATCTCACATGAGGAGCTTTAATCAGAGGAACTATAGATAGGTATAGAATAATTCAACCAAACTTTCTTTTTAACGGTGAACAAGGTGACAAACATAAATTAAATAAACACAAAACATAGGTAAAAGAGCAAAAAAAATTAAAACCAGAAATATAACTACCAGCATCCCTCTCCAATCAAGAAAAAATATATATATAAGAAGGAAATCAGCACAAATTATTCTTCCTCCCCTGAATCTTTGGCGAGACAAGGTGATAGTCAGTGATCTCAATTGGTCCACATACATCACAGCCTTATTGATGATCATCTGTGGACCTTTGAACTCTACGTTACATACTTTATTTGTCTTCTCTCCAGATTTTCCACAATACTGCTGATAATAGCGCTCTTCATTAGTCAAATAGTGTAAAAGATAAATATATTGCCAATCTGACAACAGATCCCTGATTTCTGCATACTCATGAACATAAGTTTGGACAGATAGAAATATTATCTTCCACACTATACACACGATCCCACCCCCAATATGAATGTATTATATAGCATCTGCAACTGCCCCAGACAGTTACATGTATTTGACACGAATTTCTGGAAAATTACATGTAGGAGATCTTTATACAGACAAACTTTCATTTGAAAATTTTCATTTTTTTTCTGAAAACGTTCGTTCATCCAAGGCTTCACCATCAACATCTCTGTCTTCAATCTCTATAGATTCTATTAAATGAGCTGACATGAAAATTCCCTTCTTCGTTTTACCTCCGATTGATTTTATTTTCGCGGCCTTTAGCTATTGAGATACACTTGATTATTTTCTGTAGTCCTTATTTTCATTTTTGTATGCCATTAATGTTTCTTCAAAACTTTACATTCAATTCTTGACGTTCTAAGCTGCAAACATGGTATATGTGCTTCTCCCAATCCACAAAAACATCATAAATTGTCGAAATTTTCTTGGTGGTACCACTCACAAAGTTTAATATCTTTTCCATACCTTAGTTGTAACTTTGATGAAGATAAGAAATTCAGCAACCAGTGTTTGTAGTGGCCCTTCACGTTCTTCAATTTCCCCATCTTCCAGATTTTTCTTAAATGCAAACTCCATCCTAGACAGTCTGAGGTATACATACTCAACTTTTTTCTCTCCTTAGAGGCATTAAAAATTTGCTGAAATTTATTTGACGGTAGCTCTCCGTAAAGACATTTTCCATCCCCAAAATCTCAACTTTGTTCCATTTGTACGAGGGATTTGGATGAAGTTAAAGAAAACTCTGCTACCAGCATGATAGCCTTACAAAGAAATGTAACCAAAGTTTCTTCATTTCTGTTCGATTAAAAGCATACGTTAGAAGTAAATATTTTTTACATGATCAAAATTAGACATTATTTGCAGCTGTGGAGTGTCTTAGATGAAGACAAAAACATTAAGCGTATACAAGCAAGCCTGCTAAACGCTATGCATTAAGATATTAATGAGAATGCAACAGATGAAATATTTTAGTTTGGCATAAATGATCAGAGATTTTTTTTGAAAGAATGGTAGGAAACAGTTTCAATGGAAAATGAAGGGTATAAACGTAGAAGCTATAAAAAGTTGCAAGAAAACCTATTTAGAATAATCCAGCAGAGAAGAGCCCAGGAGCTAAAAGATGTGGAGCGATGATTCACCGAGATGTTAAATTAAGATTTTAGCATAGTCAGGCGAGTTCATATTTAAGTGATGGTTAAAGTATCAGAAGACATACTACTAGAAAAAAGCCAAAGATAGTGTATATCCAAGAATCCAAAATGCAGTCATGCCTAAAGCAAAATGCCTGGGAATCACTAATTCAAACGGTGAAATTTGAAGTTAGCTAAAGTCTAAACGGAAGTATGCTTATTCTGTGGAAATGAGGACAGCATGGTAATGCATTCAGTTCAAAGGTCTTCAATGTGTCTATTTCAGTTTCAAGGAAAGAAAAAAAAACATTGAAATGAGTCTTCGCACATTGTGTGGATCTCATTATGAAACCAAATTACTGCATCAGATCAAATCATAAAGAACTACATCAAACCAAATCCTAATAATATACCAGGTGATTAAATTGTCCATTGTGCAAATATCGCCAAGGGTTTGTATAGCACGGGGGCACATCTAGATGTCAACATGCCATGTGGATGCTTCAAAAAGCTGACCTGTCACATTTTTTCCCATACTAGACAAGATCCTGAAACCCTCAACCAATTAATGTCACAAAAGATAAGCCCCGTGAAGCCAGGTAAGATTATATTGGGTCAAAAGACCGAACCTAAAGTAGAGTCATAAATAATATGATTCAAAATTTACATGAATCGAGTACAAGCAAGGATTTCATGTAGAATAAATTAAAACAAGAAAATATAGTATGACCAATCAAAGAACAGATCCATATGTTGCTACTCCAAACTACAGTCCATAAAAACAGTTTACAAAAAAAAAATCTGCGAGGTAAAAACATCAAATTATACGTATTTACCATTTGTATCATCATCCATATCACCAAAGGAAGCATCCATAGAAACGTTCAAATGAGTCGAATGTTTTCTGCAGTGGCAACAGATTAGCTTTGGTATAGTAATTAGGGAAACTATCCCCTAAGAAACCAGTGCTCAAGGAAGGTATAAAAGCCAGCTTGGCGAAATAACACTTTTAGAAGGTCTCACCTCTCTGAAGAAAAGAGAAGCTTCTTTCGAGTCTTTAATCTCCCATGATTGCACGGAAAATGTATACAGCTTCCATGCATCCAAGTCAATTGGCTAGAGCGTATGGCACAAAAGGAAAACTTTGTGGGGAGACATGCCAACCCCGGAGCAGACATCTACAGAAATAAACAGCGGTCAAATCCTGATTGAACAAGACATCAGAACAACAGCAACACAAAAAAAATCAATACTCTCTCAGGTCATAAACATGAAATTTCTTGACCAATGAGGACGTTGCATTTTCACAGAAAGAATCATAAGCAAATGCGATGTATACATAGTAATTAATTTCGTCGCAAAAAGCTCAGAATATTCACTCTCGGAAACAAAAACCAACGAATCCATGTGTAGAAAAAATAGAAACTGTAGAAACTAAATACAACGAAGCAAATATAAAAACATTCCAACACAAATTCAACATTGCAGGCAAAGACATGTGCAAAGTGCCCATACAGAAATCAGATAAAGAACATGAAAACTGACTTTGTTTCTCTGTAAAGGTCCGTCATTGTTCATTATACTAGTTATGATAAGAAGACTTTGTTCCAGAAAGCATGTCTTCACACAAAATCTCGAAAACCCCCCGCAAAACCTGAATGGCCCACATTAAATTCTCAAATGTATTGGCCTGAGCAAGCGTTATGACATTTTTAGATGGAACAGCGTCTAGAGGTTTTAATGTTGTCAGGATAAATAGGAAATATAAACATATTTGCAGGCATCTTTGTAGTTCCCCTCACTGTTTAGGAAGAAATGTGTTAGGGAGAAAACAAACAAGTGAGGACCATATAAAAAATGTTAAGATCGTTGAGAAAAAAAGGGGAGAATAACAACAGAATTACCAGCGTGAAAGTGAGGGACATCAGTGTTTGGCCACCATCTTTGGCTTCATCTTTTGGAAAACCATACCAAAAAAGAAAAAAGGAAGTGCCATTTGCATAACCCTTTTCGGGTTCTCAATTAATATCTTTCTCCTAATCGACTGCCATGGAGCAGATTCGCACATTTATCTTTATATTATCCAAGGACAAAACATCATGCTCGCCAACAACCCTAGTGCCATACTTGAAGAAAGGTGCTCCAGGATATCATTCCCAGAATAGAATAATTCATCAGAATGGGTAACTCGTCGTATTAAATCGTCCACGGTATTAAGCTTCTTCAATTTGGGTTTTCATGTGAGGGAGAGAATTTTCGGAGAGGGTTTGCACAACCACGTTTCTTTCCACTCTACTAAATTCTCGCATTAACTGTCTGAAAAATGAGCTCACAATAGAAGCCCCCCTCATCTTCCAGCCACAACAAGATAACCACTTCCAAGGATTCATATTATACCTCTGAAGAGGAGAAATATGGTAATGGATTGACCATTTGGCAAAACCTTCTGGGAAATTTGTGCTACTGATATCAGTAACTTATCAACACACCATTCTAAATAAACTTGTGAAATCCATTCACCGGTAATGAAGCGTTTTCTCAAAATTTTCATGAGGCCCGAAGAATGGTAACAATTCACCGCCAAGAATCCTCCAAGCTAACATTACAGTTTGAAACAGGCACGACTTAATACGAAAACGATTTTGACAGCGACTACCAGTATCCATTAGACACAAAAAACACAACTACATTCCATGCTCCATTCAAGCCTTCACCAGTACATACATTTCCCTACGCTATAAAACTCGAAGCTGGATGATAGAAGGTGGATAAGACCAGCCATCAAGGGACCTACAGGTCACATATTTTCCCGCATCATATAGTTCACCATAAAACATAGATGATGCTTGCGAGATTATTCTTGAACAAGGGAAATTTTCAGGTTGCTTGCACGTCCATTCGGAGCAGAGAACCGCAGCCATGGTCGAAGAACACCTCCAACATGCAGTCTCCCCCAACCTCCAGAAATCTCAAGACCAGAACGACAAAAAAACCCTCTACTGGACGCAACAATGAGAGAAACGGCAAGGCAAAGCCCAGGCATTAAGCAGCAGCGACGTCACCCGTCTCCCTCGTCACTCCCCTCGCTCCCCCGAGGAAGCTCCGTAGCTTGCGGGAAGAAAAAAGATGCCGTACACAACTAGAAAACTCAGCCACAGAGAGGAAAATATACAGCGGAGCTTACTGCGGCGACGATGGCGGTGGTCGAGGTCGGCCGATAAGATGCGACGGAGCGAGAGAAGCGAGAGACGAGCGCCGGAGTAGCACAGGCTCGGCCGGCTTCTTTTTCTTAAAAAATGGGGAAGAAATGTTCAACCCGGACCGGGTCGAGCGCGAACCGCTTCCCTCGTGACTCCTCATGGGCACAACGAAATCAGCCTGTCCGCCCTCGTCGAAATCTAATTATAAAGAATAGAAAAATAAGATTAATACCAATAATATGAAAAGCACGAGGTATAAAAATAAGATTTAAATAGTAGCAAAAAAGACTGACTAATGATTTGGTCTTGACGGAATCACCTGGGCACCGGGCATTTTTCTCTTTCTGCCAATTAATAATAAAGACGCTATTTATTATTAATTATTTTAAAATATTATTTTAATGCCTGGAATTTAACCAAAACCCATATAAATTCTTTTTATAAAAAATCATCCCATATATCTAAGAAAAAAATAAATGCATTATAATCAAGTTTGTGATAACCATCATGCTTTTTTGGAAATACAGTCAAAACTCTCTCTCTCTATCTCTCTCTAAGTCTCTCTTACCTTGTTCAATTATAACGTAGGGACTAATGCCAACTAATAAGCTATCACGTGGATAAAATAATCACATTATAATGGCCCATGTAAGATTGCTACCACTTACCACATCCCTTAGGAACAAACAATCTGAAGGAAAAAGGTTGAGAGCGCCTCTGAAACATGTGTTTGCTTTTAGCTTATTTTCTATCAATGACTTGGGAACCATTATTAGTAATGGAGTATGCCTCTAACAGCGTAAAAGTCAACTTCCAATGGAATATATGCTCCTACAAGTCTAAAGTCAACTCACAAATGGGACATATGGTTCTAATAATCTAAAAGTCAACTTCTTATGGGAGACAAGCTCCACTACTTGTGAGAGAAGATGCTATACACATTGTACACTTTTTGTATTTTTTCAAGTCAAAAAATAATGTGGGTTATTGTTTGTCTCATTTTTTTAAAAAATATTTTATTATTTTTTTGGAATTTTTCCCATGAATATATTAACTTAAAGTCAACTTACTAATAATATATTAGACCATGGGTTGAATTCCAATGATAAGAATGGGCAATCTATTGAACTTTGCAAAATCATTGGTCACATTTGGTTGATACACACTTTATTGAATAAAAAATCAAATCATGCTAAATTTTTCTTTCTTAATTTGGCCCATGCAATCTAGTGGATGTTTGTACATTGAGATTATTAGTGTTGGGGAGTTTAGATAAGTTTTTTGGGCAAAGGAGTAAGTCAACCTTCGAGATGGTTGACCGGAGGATCCCTGTTGACTTATACTAGGAGAGGAAATAATGGGCCTAAGACTGGTGGGGGAACAAATATTTAAGGGTGCATATCTGAGATGATGTAGGCGCGTCCCAATTCGGCGCGTTGACTTTTGTATGTATTTTATTAAAAATCAAGGCTGTTTTTCACGATATTATATTTTGAGGGAGGGGTGATGTTCTTGGCGGCGGCGCACGAGGGCAAAGGAACGTGAGGATCCTCTGCCGGAGCAGATTGTCGGCGTGAGAGGGCACGGAAATAGAGGAGGGGGGGAGAGGAAGGAGAGAGGGAGAGGTTTGAGCGTGGTGGACGGCTTCAGTTTGGCGATGGATATCGAGCAGAAGCAGGCGGAGCTGATCGATCACTTCGTGAAGAAGGCGCGGAACCTCGATGGCGCGGCGGGGGCACCGTTTCTCGCCGCCCTAGTCACTGAGGCCACTAGCCATCCCTCTCTGTTTGCCTTCTCCGAGATCCTCTCAGTTCCCTCTCTCGCCGAGGTAATCTGTCTCCTTTTCTCGTTTATTTCTTCCCGAACTCCGCGCAGTCCTTGTCTACCACGCGGGGGTAGGATGCCATTAAGCTCTGTTGTTTTCCTGGACTCTGCTTGTCATTCCTCATAGAACCACGCCGTTGGTGCTTTGGTGAGTAGTATTTTTCGCTTTTTTTTCCGGCCTTTTGTTATCCCTTTTTAGGTCTTTTTTAAACTTATTTTGGTCCGGGAAATGGGGATGAAGAGGGGAGCATTACTTTATTTTTTTTCATTTTGACATAAATTTTATCCATATTGTCTTTGTTCTGGATTCTGTTTCACTATGGTATTTGCGTTCGTTCTAAGTTCTACCCCTGATTGATGGCTGTGTTTTTTTCTGCCATGCAACGGCCGTCCAATATAATCTGTATTTCTCCGGGGTGTATCCTTTCGTTGAATTGATCATGTTTGCTACGAACTCTGATGTAATCATGGTGCCAACACTGCTGCCTGTCTCTTTTTGCCTTCCTGATATTTTAACAAAATGCAGCTCGAGAGGACTTCGTACTCATCATCTCTTGAGGTACTTCGCTTGTTTGCATATGGAACTTGGAGTGAATACAAAAGTAAGTACAGCATTCAATGTACATCTCTGTGGGAAGTTCTGGTTTATGGTGACCACCTTCCGGTTGATCTTGATCAAGGACTTTGTGCTAGCCTGATAAATTCACAGATATGTTCATGACACTTAAAGCTAGAAAAAGATGTGAATACAGTAACATGCCGAATGTCTAAGTCTATTATTTAATTTTTTAAAAGAAGAACCTGTTCTTTATGGTAATTTATGTATTTACTGTGATTTTTGGCCAAACTTGTTGTTAGATTGTGGTCGAATGGCAAACAAAGATCCTTGTGCTGGTCAAATTCTTTGTTTAGGGACTGGGTGTTGACCAGGAATCTAAACTTTGTTGTGCACTAGGATCAATTATCTTGGGAGTCACTACGGGAATATGTTCTTTCCAATGCGTGGAAAAGGCATTTTTTGTCCCATTTCGGAAGTTATGTTGGAGGAAAAAAATTGTAGTGACACGTGCTTTACCATCAAATCCATAGATTCATTGTCTAGAAAAGAATACTGTATGTAAACGTGAACTTTTTTAGGTCCATGTTCTTTTCCTTCTACTGATTTCTTGTTTCCAATGAACCCTGTTCTATTTTTCTGATTGGAGCTCTTCTTTTCGGAATGATGCTCAACACCTGCCAGAAGAAATTTATATGGATTTCTCTGTTGCTCATTTTTCCTGAACAAACGCTGATATTGTCTATACTTTATTTTGTGAGGCCGCCTTCCATATGATGATTCCTATGATTTTGATCATAATTTTGCTACCGCTTAGAGTGTTGATGAAAGAGGGGCTGGCTTGCAACTACCAGTTCCCCAGATTTTACCCTACCAACTGTGAACAAGCTCTCCTGTCATGGCATAGTTTTTGGTCTATGATGTTTGTGTTCACATACCATAAATAACCTGCACAGGCCCTTTTGTGCTTGCTCTGTAATTTTGATTTTTTTCTCTAGGGCTTGGAATATTTTTGATTTTCTATAGGGGCTAGAAAATCAAAATCTGAGAAGTAGATGGGACACATCAAATCTGCGAAGGACCTCTCTATTATTTTCTGGATACAAACTATCCTTGGAATAGTTTGTATCCTCTTCTTTCCACTTCAGTGTAAGCACATAGTGTGATGAACTTGCAAGGCTCAGAATTGACTTCGTATATTTATTCAATGTTTTACCCGTCATGGTTCTGTTTATCACCAACTACTGTACAACATGAGAAGTAGATGGGACACATCAAATTAAATCTTTACGCAGCATTGTTATCTTAGGCGAGCTACCATGAATATTTTCTGGGTGCAGTTGCATACTATTCTATTTTCGCATAAGCACTGTAGCTTTTTTGTGCTTTAGAAGCGTTGCTGTTGCAGTTTTCTCAGAAAATTTCCATTCATAGATACTTTTGGATGCAATTTATCATACTCTACCATGATTATGAGTTTCGTATACTCTGTTCAACATTTTATGTTTCCTTTGCTCAGGCAGAATTTCTGTTCAGGTATTATATTTTTAGGTGTTGGGACTCCATTGCCAATTTACACGTTATCAAATGGCAGAATGTCTTTTGTTCTTGTATTTGCTAGCTGCGGCCAGTTACATAGGCACGGTTTGAATACGTCCTCAGGTCCTTTGATGGTCAAAAAAGATGTATATTTGTTTAGAAAATCTGATTATGTGGCAGCTTTTCCCCTACTATGTTTCTCGATTTACTTTTAATAATCAGCCCGTCCGTGTAAATACTTGGTACATGGTACTGTCCGAAGCTTCATGCTGGGCAGTTTAAAAACTTAAAAAGTATAAAATTCTGGAAGTCAAATAAATGTGAACATGTAGAATCTTAAGAGGTCATAGAAACTCTTGCAGAACAGAAATGCAGACTATTTAAATCGTAAAATGACAGAAAAAAGTTGAAATGTAGAATTGGAAATGAAAAGTGAGGTGTCCTTGAGGGTGGCATAACTCTTGCAGCCTAAACATGAACAGGTTTGAGACGTCTTTTGATGCCAGTATGAACCATTCGGATTCAGATCGTTTAGTTGGAGGTGAGTGAACCAGGAGCTGGAGAACTAAGGACACTATTATGTAGGTCATCCTGGCTTGTTGGAGGGAGATTTATAGGTGCTTCAATTATCAAGGGGCCCTATTTTGTGGAAGCAATAAAGAGTTTTTGATTTCTTAATCACGAAATTGGGCCATATAGTTGCAATTAGTAAACATTGTAGAATTGGCCACTCTGATATACGTCTAGAATATTTTTCATTCAGAACGGTTTAGGCCCAAATAAGACATATTGAGTTTGGCTTTTGGCGCTCTAATGTTGATTGACCCTATTTAGGCTTGTTTTATCTGATTCATAGGATGTGGGAGAAAAAAAGTTCGTGGAAGAAGCATTCTTTTCCCTTTTATGACAATTTTTCGTTCTCGTCTTACCGTTGTTTTATCTTGTAATTTGGTTTCTTTTTTTTCCTTCTTCCTCGTCTTTTTAGAGGGTCTGCGTGTTATATTGGAGGATTTTCCTTTTTGTTTCTGGTGTTTGAAGTTTGGTTCCTTGTTTTCATTTCAAATTATTTTTTGGGAAGGGTTGATTTCCCTGCTATTATTTTTCTGGCGCAGGTCATTGATCAACTATTCTTTCTTTGATTAACTGTGAATCATAGGAAAGTGTGAGTTATCTTCTGCGTTTGACAGCATGTGCATGCCCTTTGTCATCATTTCCCTTTAATTCATTTTATTCTGGCCTTGTACCCAACAAATAAAAGTTGGAATACATGACATGTTCATAACGAACTGTAGCAATTATATCAATTATTGGGGAATATATTGGGTTGAATTAGCAACTTCTTGGCAGATGTTTTTCTCTTCTATAAGAGCTATGGGAGGACTCCTGCATAACAGCATAATTCTTGCATTCAAATTGAAGGTACTTTTTCGATCATTTCAGTCGTAACTATCATTCATTTGATTAATTTGAAAAATCATTGGAGATAAGAAAGAACAAAGAGTATTTATTGGAGACACTCCTCTAATGAAATCCCTTTGAACCCTTACAGTAAATGGATTTTACAATACTGTAGTTAATCAAGTGTTTCCAAGTCCTAGCATTTACTACCATTCCGACTTGGGCCATTACCATACCAGCACCATAATATTAGGTTGGGGAGGAAAATCAGAATGATATATTGACAGAAAAGCGAATATATTTGAGTAGGAAACAGAAAGTTTCTATTCGATTTGTATTATCAGCTATGGGTTTAAATCTATGGGAAATTCTATATTACTTTGTCATCCTAACATATTCTTGTCTTTCCTGAATGATAAAGGGGAAAATAAATATCAGGATGAACTAAAGAACGAAGAACTATGGAATTCGTTGTTGAATTTTTAAATTTTTCTGGCATCTTTCAGCTGTTCTTGTGTGTTAGTACGTAGCAGTGGTATTCCTCATCTAGTGTGATTCAATAGAAAACGAGGTTGTGTTCCCTTTTTTCATTTCAAAGGGTGAATAGGGTATATTTGATTGTGTATAGAAAGGTGGTTATTGATGACTTCTTGATGATGGCCAATAGTTAGCTTGTGACATGGCAAGAGTCTTCCTTGGTTTTGGATGAGACGACCCAGTACAAAGCTGCTGTCTAATCCTTATTTTCCCGTTCTACTTGGCTGATTTTCATGGAGATTATTACCTTGGAAGTCCAAAACCTATCTTATTTTTCCGAATTGCACATGTGGTTAAGTCCATTATGCTCGAGCTGCCTTTTCACCGTCTGTTTGTAATCGATTGATGGATTGCTACCAAGTATTTCTTCCTTTGATTGATGTGGTGAACATAAAATCTGAAGTTAATAAGCATGGTAATCGACTATGGAGTTAGCAAGATCCAATGTATTTCTTTCTCTCTGCTAGGCAATATGTTGCTGAAAGCATGAACAAGAAAGTTAAACCTTCTGTGCAGTCAATCTCTTCATTCTCTACCACGAGGAGAAGAGAGGGGGATGAGTAGATTACAACCTGTCATACCAATTTTAGGGAAAGGACTTTGGCTTTAGTTCATGTAAAAGTTATGACTGACAGAGGGAAATGCTGAACAGATTTATTGGTAGTGGCTACCTCTTTAAACACCTCCAAACGGAACTTCATAAAATACTTGTTCAAATTGGATGTTGGGTAGTTTCTAGTATCTTGAACCTGTGAGGAATAAAGCTGGATTCCTCTCGAGAGTAGAGACGGCATCTGTATCAGGAAGGATAAGAGAAGTTAAGCTACGGCCCAAATCCTGTCTATTTCCCCTCAGCCAAACAATAAACCTTCTTCTCGGAAAAACTGCAGTATCCACTCATCTCCTCTTCTGCATTTGGTTGGATAATGAACATTATGATTATGTTCTCAGCCTAACTTTGTGCCGTGATCTAAATTCCATTACCCTCGCATAACACCCTTACTGTGAATTATTTAGATTCCATTAGGATGTATGTGTAGATGCATTGCAGAAGATTCATAGTGAATCATATCCATTAATATATTGTTTCTTGTTTCATATTTGAGAATCATATGTTTCTGATGCTATTTTGACTCTTTTTCACCTCGAATGTTTACATGAGATTCAATTGATATAGGTAATGCAGGCCGTCTTCCAATATTGGTACCAGCACAAGTTCTCAAGCTAAAACAACTTAGTGTTCTAACATTGGCAGAGACTAACAAGGTACTTATATAACGTTCCATATGTTGTCTTCTTGGGCATAGAAAGTGGAGTCTTTAAAAGTATGCCAAAATCATAACCACTTTCTGGTTTATTTGTTAGAAAGGGGTAGAAAAGGTTGAAGGATGATTTCCAGTTATAGCCCAGCCTAGAGCATGTATCCATTAGTTCTCCGTTATTTCTTTGTGAATTTTTTTTCTCTCTAAAATTGAAATGAAACCAACAAAACGTAAATCGTGCTTCCCTGAAACTTTTCTGGAAAGGTTATGGCGATCCACTCTCTCATTTTGGGTGTGAGTGTTTATCCCAATCACAATGATCAACCAAGAAAAGAGCTGGGAGATGTGTGACTTAGTTATTTTTTCGTGGATATGTTTATCAGGTCTCGTATGCCTACTTGTACATGGATTGCTACTGAAGACAATATTCCATGTAGATTTTTCTGACCCTACATTACATCTACAACAACGAGTTAATGAATGGATTGCATAAAATATTAATGGAAGTTTTGTTGCCCTAGTATCTCTGGGAACCATCGACAACCTCATGCGATAAGAGCCCGTGATCAACAATCTTTTCTGGTTCATAATCTGATCCTTGCCTATTTCGGTGGCACAATTTTGTTCTGCCAAAAGCGGAAGTCTTGTTCCCCTTCACTGTGCCAATTGACCTAATTTTCACCGTGTAGATCAGGGGTCGTAATGATGCATCTTGCATGGGAATCTTATTTCGCCTGTGGACTCCCTAAAATTTCCTTTTATTCCCCACGTTAAATTGTGTAAAGTATATGATGCGGTAATCAAACCTCATCGCCTATGATATCTTCTATCATCAGATATTCTTTCCTCATATGTGCATCACACAAAAGATTTGTAGTTAATTGTTGAACATTACCCAAAAGATTGTGATCTATTACTGTGATCCTGGACCTTTGAGCAAACCTTTGCAACCGTCACCTTCTTCCACTCCTTGACCTGTAGACTGTCACTTGCTTTCTCTTGGTCTGCCTGAGAGGAAGCTTCCATCTTCCCTCCAATGTCTTTATTGCTTGTTCACGTCCAATGTCTTTTGTTGAAAAGGTACAAGCCTAGAGGCTGTCAAAGAATCATTTCGTTGTGCTTGCTGTCCCTGAACATCTGTCCTGTCGTGTGGGCCTTGGTCTATTGTGGGTTCTTTTTATTATTAAGTCTTTTTCCTGCCATTATTTATGTTTCTAGTTTTGTGCTGTGGGTTGATACTGTTTTGGGAAGATGTTGAAGGCCATCATCTACCTTGCATACCTGACAATGAATGTTGATTTGTTTGATCCTTATTTGGGGTGAGCTTATTCTATCGTTCCATAGACTAGCGATGTGAGATGGGTGGATGTATGGCCAGAAAACGATAGGATATTAGCTAACCTGGATAGGATCAGCTAATTCTTAAAGCAATGTTACCAACCCTGAATTGAGATTTCATGGTGCTGAAATCTCGAGCCTATTGGCTGCGCCTAACTCGTCTGTAAATCCAACTCAATTAGATTGTCCTGTTTTTTCACTCACGTTGGTTCTCTATTACAAAAAGGTCACAGTTGGGATTGGTTAGTACTGTTCTTGATCCTTCCTGGCTGTTAATTGAACCAATGCTAACTTGCTTCGAAAGGGCCCCATCTGAGACCTAGAGTAGGGGGTAAGTCCATCTGTCCCATTTCAATTGTTTTGTTGGCTTTTAGGTAAACTACATGGAAGATAGCTTTTCCTAGTTTCTCGTCTGACATTAATTTAATCAAGTACCTATTACTACATTGTAGAAATTTATGCCAATCATAATGTATGCCATATTCCTGAGATCTTCATCGCATCTTGCTTATCCTTTGTGGATATAAGTGGAAATAAGATGGTGACAAAAGCAACTATGTTTTCCCCTGTCAAGTTATCCAAACGAATCAACAAAAGCTTCTCCAGTCGTGTTTAATACGACAGGACGATTGCATTTTCTCTGTCAGTCTTTTGTCAGAAGAAAAAATGATTTGATTAAAATTAAGCATCATACCTTTGTATTTCAAGGATAGTAATAATTTAAGTCGCATAGATAATCCTACACTTCAGAGTGTGATTGTGTTCTGATTTGTCAGTTTTCTAAGAAAAAATGATTTGGAAGGTAAAAGAATATCTAACTTTATACTGTGGTTGTTCTGTTATCTTAAGATCTTGATTGAGAAGTTTTCCTTGTCCTCGGTATCCTTTTATCTATGGAATCTGTGATATGCTATCTTCCCGTTTAATACAACTTTATAATATTTGTTTCCTGTAGTATGCATTGTACCGCTATATGCTTACTCCACAACCGCATTTGATCATGGCAGATACTTCCATATGATCAGTTGATGCGGGAACTAGATGTTTCGAATGTACGTGAGCTCGAAGACTTTCTCATAAATGAGTGTATGTATGCAGTAAGTGGCTTTTCTTTCTCAGCTGTTGACTATACTCTTCATGGTTTATGTAGCTGCGTGATGTACTCTGGGAGATTAGTTTTTTGTCTGGAATATTTTTACTAGGAACCACTGAAGGCAATATTTAAATCTTCTGTATGTGAAGGTCTCGTATCACTCTGGGGTTGGAGGGGGGCGTTTCCCTGTTTTATGTGGATTTTTTTGTGTGAAAATAGAATTTGCTTTGGCGAATCTTATGTTCACATGACGAAAGTATCATTTTATATTACCATATAAACTGGAATATGTTGAAATGTCCTTACTCGTCCTCATCTCGCCTTTTATTGCAGGGCATTGTTAGAGGGAAGCTGGATCAGTTGCGCAGGTGCTTTGAGGTAGGATTTGCTGGGTTTTGAACGCGTCCAATCAATTTATTACTATGCTTTATTTTATCCGAAGATTGTATTTAGACATCTTTGAGTACCGTGTCATATGTCATTGAATGGCTTTCTAGTTACCTCGATTTTGGGTTCTGTTCAGGTTCAATTCGCTGCAGGAAGAGATTTGAAGCATGAGCAGCTCGATAATATGATAAAGACTATGTCAAACTGGTAATTCTTATTTAAGTAATGTATGAATACAAATTTAGTTGGACTTTTCTTTTTCTTGCTTGATCTTTTAGCATTCTTACTCATTTTGCATTTCAGAGCTGCATTTAAACAGATCTATATTTGCATACTATTGGAGATGTACAGGCCTGAATTAATTGGGATTATTTGGCTGACCTAGGGTCCATTCCCATTTCGCAGTCTGTTATTGTAGTTTCGAACCAGCAGATAATAATTTTTGCCCTTTGGGTGATTTTTTACAGTAGAAGGAAATGTATCTAGTGGTAACGTCAAGTTCCTCATTTGAAGCCATTAACGGACTGAATTCGTCATTGGCATCCTGGATTTAGTTTATAAGTAGTTTTATCTGCTCACTGAATAGTGGTATGCATACTGCAATTCAGCCTGCTGTGTGTATGATTTGATATTGAGTAGGTTCGCAAAAAAATTATTTATCGATGTCAGATGGGACCTTGTGAGTGTGGTTAGTTCTGTACGATTTGTGAGTTGACATTTTTTTTCCTACTTTTCTGCAATAATGGAATAGTCAAAATTCGAAATGGTTGCACTTAAGGTGCAACTCGGATTGTATGGGAACGAGACATCGGTGATTTGGAATATTGAGGTAATGCTTACTTTAGGGTATTTCAGAATACAACTCATTGAGAGTTGATTGTTTAATAGGATGAACAGGACAGCAGATCATTTTGTTTACTGCGGCTTGCTTTTCATGTTCTCCATTTATGGTAATCTTGATGAGGACGTAATTTCTCTAAGAAGTTCAGTTTCATGCTTCAATTTTTTTCTTTTAATGTCAACAATTCTCTATCCCACTGTTTGGTGCCTCTCTTACCATATTTACATTACTCTTTCGGATCTAGATGGTTACTTGGACCCATATGTTCAACATCATTTTCAATTATATATTGCGGTTCATGATTTCATTCACAGCAGCTTGACGCTTACCCTCAATAGAATGATTTGGGCTGGCTATGTTGCCTTCAGCATTACTAATGAATATCAGTCGTTTTTTGAGGTGTCTTACCCTGTGCAAATTAGATGACGAATAAATTTTATCTCAAATTATCTGTCTAAACATTAAACCAGTCTCCTTTGGCTCCTCTTCCACAATTAGTAATCGGATTTGATCCATATTTGTTTTAAAACACTATTTATCTACTGTTTATTTCCTGGATGCTCTACCATGGCATCCATTGATATGGTGGCAACCGCTAGCCAGAGTTTTGGACGCCTCAAGTGTGAGCGTTTGGGAATAGAGAGAATGGTGGAAGATCAGGGATCGTATTTTTCAGTTTCCTGGTCTGAATTGCTTTTCTGAGCCCTTTGCTATCTTAAATATGGTTTTTTTATAGAAATCATTTCCTGTTTACGACTTAATCGTCACATTCACTTCAAAACAAGATAGCTCTTTCGATAAGATCATAGACTTAATCTGAAGGGAAACAAGGGATATTTTTGATATGTCTACCGGAGAAGCTCCTTCTAATATGTCCTTTTACCCTGGTTCAAGGATCCAAAAGACGAAGAGGTCTTTTGAAAAAAAATAAATCCCAATGAGAATTTTCTTGACATCCTTTGTGGTCTTCCCCTTGTTTATGATCTTTGGAGTTTAGTCTACCCTGTGATAAAATATAAATAGGCCTTGCTCAGAGAGGCAGATTGCAGTATCAAAATAGGTTGCTATGCTAGATACCAGATTGTGATTATAGGCTGATTCTCTCTCTCTCTCTCTCTCTCTCTCTCTCTATCTCTCTCTCTCTCTCTCTCTCTCTATCTATCTTTTTTTCTCTCTTTAACCGACTTGAACTGTCGTGATTTTGTATGAGACATTTTCTGAGTAAATCGCCCTGTTCCTACCTGGGCAGATGAGTTGGTAAGGAAGATCTAGGAGGCCGACGGGTCTATATTTGAATAATCATGCTTTCGGATATGGTTCTTAAGCGCTATATCTTGGTTCTTTATTTATTTCTCTCTTGGGTGTGTTCTTTGCAAGGGCGGCCGAATTGGCCAACCCTCAAGTGGAGGGGGGTCATTGGCTATTAATCGTTTTGCTGATGTGTTTCGCAGGTTGAGCACTTCCGATAGCCTTCTCAATTCCATCCAAGACAAGATCAAGTGGGCGGACATGATGAGCGAAGAACATAAGAAACACCGCAAGGACATCGAAGAGAAGGTGGACGAGATGAAGAAATCCCTTAAGGTAAGAGAAACGATTTAAATATCCTTCCGATTTCATCAATTTTTTTCCAATCTTGCCCAATCTTTCCTTCTTTCTCTGTGATTCATGCCTGTAGACGGCTGCTATATACTACCCATTTAGGGAACAATCCTATCTTCTGCGGCCAGAAACTATCTACCCCGTTGATAAGAAACTTTATTAACCTCGCCAAAGACTATAGTTTTGTGGGTTCTGATGAGAATATTCATAATTCATGCCTTCCTTCCCTCTTTCTTCTCATCAGAACTCAGCCCGTTTGATGAACAAATTTTCTGAAAGGAGAAAAGAATTCAGCCCCCCAAGTCTCTGCTTCCTTCCCTCTTTCTCCATTATGCATGCCTGTATCGTTCTTCACTGCTACCCGTTTAAGGGATTCTTTCGTGGCCAGGATCACGCGTTCTTTAGCAACTTGATTAAGACCAACGGAAACCATAGTTTTATGAGATCTAAAGAGAGGATTTATGGGCCTGTTGATCGTAATAGTTACTGGTTTGGGCATCTTCAATAATGGGCAATGTCAGTCGATGTGTCTTACTTACTTGGTGGCAGAAGTTCCACAATTTAAGCAGGCCGACTTGGACTTACGGGGCAACGCCGAGATCCTCTACTCTGAACCTGGAGGAGTGATGGACTACGAGGAGGACAGAGCCCGCCCCAAGAGGTACCTCCCCGCCACCTACTTCCTCTCTCTATCTCTCTCTCTCTCTCTCTCAAAGTCACCTTCAAGCATTGGCTAGCGGGACTCTGCGTTTCTTTTACCCGGTTTGATGAACATGAAAGGGTCCACCTTTCTTGGGCATCTCAGGAATCATTAATAGTTAAAAAGGAAGAAAAACAAAGAAACTGGGAAACATGAACCATCTCGGCGAACCCTAAAAATCCTAAAATACGTCTGTTTTCTAAGAGGAAAACTGGGTGTTCTTCTGTTTTTTAACTGGAAGGTGGGTGCCCTTTGTGTGATTGAGATAGATACTTATGCGCATAATCTCTCTCTCTCTCTCTCTCTCTCTATATATATATATGTATATATATCTATCTATATATATATATATATATAGATCCTGTTGGAACCTAGCAGTTGGCCGTCTCTGGCCAGGAGTCTTGTTTCTTTCAATGTATAGCGTTGTCGGGGTGAAGAGGAGGGCTCATTCAGGCGGTTTCTTGGCCGTGCAGGAGGCGACACCCGATGAGAGAGCAGCATTAGCAGAGGACGGGCCGTGCTGGATCCTCCTCTTTTATTCCCCCTTCCTTCTCCTCCTCTGGACCGTTCACAGTTTCTGCCCAGTTTTGTTTTGGGACGGGGGTCTGATTATCTCGTGAGAAGATTTGACCCCCCTTCCCCGCCTTCTCTCTCATATTCTCTCTCTCTCTCTCTCTCTCTCTCTCTCTTGTGCTCTCTCTTGGTGGGCTGGGTCAAACTATTCAGAGTGAGGGGCAGTAGTATGGGTGCTCGTGGCCCGGAATTTTTGGCCACCGTGGTTCATACACGTGGGCACCTGTCTCGCTCTCTGTATCTCTCTAGTCGTTATCTAAGAGTTTGATTTGTTCTCGTCCTCGCACCTTATTCTCTCTCTAACCCCTCTATCCCAACTCCCCCATGCCGTCAGCCACAGGACTCTCTCTAACTCCCTCGGGGCATCAGCTGGGGAAGGGTTCTGCGACTCTCCAAACATCATTCTTCTTTCTCCGCCGCAGGGATTTTGATTAGCTCTCTACATACTTCTCTAGAAGTTTCGAGTAGGCCCGTCGCAGGGCATTTCATCTCTCTCTCTCTCTCTCTCTACATTAGTGGCTCTCTCTAGAACTCCGCCGCAAACTTCTTACCTCTTTACCTCTTTGTACATATCTTTCCCTCGTACTCCCCCCCCTCTCTCTCTCTCTCTCTACATTAATGACTAGAACTCACTCCGCCCCAAGCTTCTTACCTATCTCTATAACTTTCCCTCGTACTCGCTTTCTCTCTCTCTCTATCTCTCTGAGTAAAACTCTCAGGTCGTCGTCCGTCTCATCGCCTTTGACCGTTGCTCTTCACTGGTATACTCTGTGAAACCTTCTCTCTCTCTCTCTCTCTCTCTCTAGCAGTCTGCGATGGCGCTTTGATCATCTTCTCCCTTTCTCTCTCTGGGGGAACCTGTCGCCCTCAGGGGCTTATCGTAAATTTTCCCTGCCGATTTATCCTCGGTGGTGGTGGTGGTGGCGAAAAAGTATCGTTGGCGTGACGTATGACGTCATCATCTGGATGTGCGTTACAGCTAGCAGTGGACCATTATAGTCACCTCCAGCGGCTGAGGTGGCCTCCTCCGATGGAGCTGCTCGCTTGGTGGGCCCGCGCTTCGCTGTGGGATATTCCTCATCGCTTTGGGCTCAGGTTGCCAAGTGGGCCCCACATTATGGGCCGTCTTATCCTCCCGGGTCGGGGAATTCATTCCATCCAATACGCGAAATAAAGCGGGCACCTTTTTTTTAATTATTTCTACTAATCCTCCGTTTGTACAGATAACCAGGAATGGATACGACACCCCTCACAAAACCCCAATGGACGGCCGGCAGGGCCCACCTTCCCCCCTCCTTTCTCGGGGGCTCTTCTATACTACCTACCGTCCACTTCCTCTCTCTCTCTCTCTCTCTCTCTCTCTCTCTCGATTTACCACCGGGCTGCAAAGGACGGAGCACTTGCAGGCTTACTACTCCGCGTTGAGGCCCATCTCGAGTCCGACCAGCCAGCAGTTGTTGGGCGATGTGACGGTGATGATGGAGCAGGGGAGAGAATGGCTCGCCGGCTCCGGAGAAGGCGACTCGCCGAGCTCCGACGTTCTCGTCCTCTTGGGGGACGATGACGACGACGATGGCGATGGCGATAAGGATGACGATGACGATGCAGAGGAGATGGAGGAGATGGAGGAGAAGGAAGAGCCGCTTGGGGTCTCCGGCGAGGGCCGCTTGGGGGCCGGCGGCTGGTGAGAAGGGGGGGGCTCGTCGGCGGCGGCGCAGATGCGGAGGGGGAAGTTGAGGAGGGCGCGGGAGCCGCGCATGCGGAAGGCGGCGCGGTCGTAGGCGACGGCGGCCTCCTCTGCCGTCTCGTAGGTGCCGAGCCACACGCGGGCGCCGTTCTTCGCCGGGTCCCTTATCTCCGCTGCGAACTTCCCCCACGGCCGCTGCCGCACGCCGCGGTAGTGTCTCCCCTTCGACGGCACCGGCACCGGGGCCGGCGCCGCCGCTGGCTGTGGCACCTCCGCCGCGCCGCCGCATAGCTGCTGGTGCTGGTGCTCGGCGGGCGCGGTGGGTTCCTCCTCCTCCGGCAAGAACCAGGGCTCCGGCTTGACGGTGGCGGGGCCGGCGAGGGAGGGGACCCAGCCGGCGGAGACAGCGTCGCGGAGGATGCCGAAGAGGACCATGTCCTCGGAGTCGTCGACCTTGAGCGGGAGGTCGCCCCAGTTCTCGGTGAGGCACGGCATCAGGCTCCCGAAGCTCGAGCTCCGCTGGTACGCTCTCGGCGGCGGCGGCGGTGGCGCCACCGCTCCCGCGGGGAACCCAGCGGAGGTGCAGCAGGAGGAAGAGGAGCCCGGTGACTCCTCCGCCGCGAGGAGATGCTCCCTTATGCTCCGGAGCACCGCCTCCTCTCTGCTCTGGTACATATTCTTCTTCTTCTTCTTCTTTCTTCTGCTCCCGCGGTGATCCGTCAGTATTTCATTTTGCTGGACTCTCAGCTCAGCTGGGTTTATATAATAGCGGCCAAAGGAAGCCTCCAGGGAAGGTTCACACCTCCACTCTCTCTCTCTCTCTCTCGTAGACCTGTTTTAGTTTTTTCGAGTGATCTTTCTCTAGACGCGCGCTCTCTCTCTCTCTCTCTCTCTCTCTTAGTCATCGCGGAAATGAAGCGTCGGAACGTTCTGTGCGCGTGCGCTAATAAGTGGACTGGATGAGGATGAGCGATTGCACGTGACGAATTCGCGTTTTGCATTGCGCACATGTAAGGTCTGCCACGTGTAGCTGGCTATCGCCACGTGCCCTTCGGACGAGATGGCATGACGTCATCAGCGTTAGCGTCAACCACGGAACGGACTAAATGACCATCAGAGTCGGGCCGTCTACATCGATTGTGGGGCCTACTTTGACACGTGGGGCATCCACATCCGTCGGAGCGGGGCCGCGACGTTTCCGTCCTCGCCAGTGAGAGAGAATTCTTTTGCGTTTTAATAATTTCACAGTGACCCGGAGACAAGTATAATGGTCGATAGGACCAACCTTCTAAAATATCACAGATTGGCTTGGTATTATTCTCTGCAATGACCTGGTAGACGATTACTTGGTCTTAATAAATTAAAATAATTTAATTTTTTAGTAGATCAATCCGGATTATCATCCACAAATGGTATTTCTGGATATATTTGACTTTATTGATCTCATTCTACCTGCCATTCAAATATCCTGATTTGAAAAAAAGGGTCATGGCACGAGGTACACCAAAAAGGGTCGTACTGCTAGATTTTAGGAAGGTTAGATGAGTCCAAAGTCAGCAAGTTAGATTTTTTGAAAAATCTATTTCAATGAGATTATCGCCACTGAATTAAAGAGTTAAATTTTATAATTATGTATTTTTGACAATAATGATTAGTATTAGTAACTATTTATTTCCATGTAATGATAGAATCATGTGTTTGATGAGCCAATGAAAAAATTAAGAGTGGGGAGTGATTGGTTATCATTTGAATATAGTTCATTTTTTAAAAAATAGATATGATGGAATAAAAGAGGGAGGCTATAATTTAGATGATTGTACTCTTTATGGGTAATTTATACGATCAAGTATGAAATTCACACAATTTAAGGTGTTTCAGCCATCTGGGTTGACATTACTCTTCATAAATACTTTATGAATGTTCCAACATCCATAGATAGTAAAGCTAAATATGAAGATTTAGCTCACCTTTAATAAATTCACAACTCTAGGCGTTCATGTCTCCAATACTTATTTTTTAAAGTGATTTAGCTTTAGGAAACCAAACACGAGAAATCTTAAGCATGCTTACCATTCTAGATATATTAAGCTTGATATGATTTTTGTTATACAATATTGTTCTTCATATAATGACTTCTTAAGCTTGATATATTAAAGTATGTTTCTCTACATTATAGCTATTAATATATCAGCCTTAATATACTTCTTTTATGTAAAGTAACTTCTCATTCATACATTAATTTAGTGAGCTTGAAATCTTAGTTGTTTTGCAACTTACCTCTATACACACTCACATATCGACTTTGATATATTCTACTATTTTGAATTTTTTTCATGAATTGAAATATTTCTTTTGATGTACATGGTTTGTTACATATTGTTCTTGATTATGATACTTGTGTTTCACAACATAATTTGAATGTATTGAAATATTAACCTTTTTATACATTACTATTGTGAAGCAGAACTTCTAGTATACATAAAATATCAAGCTTAACATACTTGATTTATTCTACACTACAGCTTTTAAACATAACTCCCAACTGATAAGTATTTAAATTTTATACAGTGATGACAATCTAATTCATTTTCAATATTGTTTGAGGCTTCAAGTCAAGTCCATATAATTGAATAATTCATGAAGGAAATAAATTGATAATTCTAAGGACATCATGACCTCTAAATGTGAGGGTTGAAATTTAATATTATAGCATAAAATTATTGACATTGGATAAATTGATAATATTGAGTAGAGAGTTTGTTTCATATTACTATATAGTAAAATGTATTTCATACTTGAAGAATTTCAAGTAGATTTTGAAGGATAAGGCCTATAAGCCACTACATTGTTAATTGCACATCTTTTTATCGATTAAAGTACATTGAACACACAAAAAATGATGGTGTTCAGGATTGATAATAATATGATTGAGTGTTCAGGATTCTATTTGTGAATAATTTGATAATAATATCATAGTGTGTTCAATATTGTAACCTTTATGATCTGAATTGGAACTACAATCTTGTGTGTGTAACACAATTGTGATATTTTAGTCAATTCTTTCATTTTCCTTGTTGTAATTCATAGACAAAGAGTTTGATTAGTTTTTAGTAATTATGGGGAACTTGGAAGTAATTTACTAGATATTAATTTAAACTATAATTTTAATTGAACTTTGTTAAGACTAACCATTTCTAGAAATGATAAATAGGTAATATTTTAATTCACCACTTGTGAAGCATTATAGTGACTTGTTGGCATGAAAAAAAAACAAAGCATAAATTCAAGAGACATCTTGACATTTATGTATCTCAATCTTATTAAAATTTGATAAATCCTATACTTTTTTGCTTCCTCATGAAGTTGACACCAAAATTAAATGATGTAGTACTGGTGAAATAACTATGAAACATTAGTTAAACCAGGTGGTAGATCCATGTAGATGAGTGATAATCCACATTGTGAGATTTTTTTTTGTCTGTTATGTGAACTAGTGTAAATGATTGGTGATGTTAGAGAGTTATTAATGCATATTGAAAGCCCTTAACTCTTTACATATCAAAAGAGAGAGGTTGGGTAATTAGAAATTAACTAGTATCCATAGTCTAATGGAAACAGAACAGAAAAAAACTGATAAAGACTAGAGGTGTGGGGAGTGGACATTGAAGCCTTTGAACATATTTTATCCCACATCCCCTTCTCCATGGGATGACTGACTTTGCATGTCTTTGCTTTGAACATCTTAGAACAATACATGATATTAAAATGGGAGAAATAATCAAACTTTGTGTGAGTTTTTGTACTATTTGCTGAATCCCAAGTTGAGAATAATTGTATCATCATTATTGTTAATAAAAAAGGTCATATATAGGAAGGGGGAGGGAGGGAGGGAGAGAGAGAGAGAGAGAGAGAGAGAGATAGAGAGAAAGGTAGGTAACAAAGTGGGTTGACTTGGTGGTTATTTTCATGACACATTATTGTGAATAACCTAAGGTTTTGGATATTCAAATAACCCTTCTTGGTAGATGTCACGTTGTGAAATTCTTGTCGAAATTTATTTCTAAATACTATGTAAGATTCTAAGTATTAACCTCTTTTTTTTTATGTTAAAGCTTTACTAAAACAAGCGACTTTTGGTCAATAAAAGCTAGTTTTAGCACAAAAAGTTCAAGTGCTTCTTGCCACATTCTAGAGTCTAGAGACAAGTAAGATGGGTCTAAATTTTCACATAAAATATAAATGTTTCAATGATCTGATAATCTCATACTGGTACAAAATGTGTTGTGGGTACTGATCGTCAATAAACCAATTTATAATACCATATATGTGCTAATTTTTTTCTACATTCAAATTATATTCGATATCTTGGTGTAGAGATCAGAGTTTCTTCGCGTAAAGAATAAAATAAACAACTCCAGTTGATTAGGAGCCACACCTGCTTTCTTTAATAAACCTGAAATATTCTGGATTGAAACTCGGGACGTGATGATGCCCACGTATGCTTGCATTCCTGAATAAAACAGCTACCTTTGGTCGACGACGAGAACAGATTAAAGTTTTCCTTTTTTGCCGGTCGACGGCACGTGGTGACGGCTGACCAAGAGGTATCTATTAATGTCTGCAAGGTATAGAGAGAGAGAGGGAGGGCCCCTCCCGTTCCGGGAAGCTCCCTCCGAGGGTAACGGGGAGGGAGAAGAGAAAACTAATCTCTCCTACTGTTGTCGCCGTGGAGAGAGAGAGAGAGAGAGAAAGAGAGAGAGACAGAGGTCATCTCTCCCGCCGTCATCGTGGAAGTCCAATACCAGGGGCGACGTGGGAAGGCGACGATCGCCGGGGGCTGGCGGCGACGCAGCCTCTGGGCCGCGGACCCCCCACGTCTCACTCCAAAAACCCCACCGACTTTTCTTTTCTCGTTGGTGGATGTCCGGTGCTTAGATTCAGACAACAATCAACTAGAAATCCTCATTCTCATTCTCATTCCCATTCTTCTGAGATCGATTTACTTCTCAGCACTACGAGCTTATCTTGGGTAAGTGAAGCGCACAGGCGAACAAGGTACATAAAGGCTAGGAAAAACTCGGCAAATGAGCCGCAAAATGGGCACATCGAATCTCCTGGTCGGTCATCCCAGATTCACTCGAGATGATTTTTCTAATTTTTAAATATATCAGAGCACCTGTAATATTAATTATAAAATTCACCATTTAGGCCATAACTGCATGAATTTAATGGCGTTATAGACCACGCGAGGCTCAGCTTGGATCCCCTATTTTCCTTGCGAAGATACTTTGCCAAATCACAGCCCCACCCAATCCAGTCTTAAAATATTCGTTTTTTAGTCAACTCTGTCGCTGTTGACCTAGCAGGTACGTTTATCGTATCCATTTCCAGAAGAGAGAGGGAGGCGGGGATTGCTGTGAGATGTGAACGCACGC